GGAGACAAAACCTTTTTGAATAAATGTTTCCAGGTATTCTTGAAACCAACTAGCACAAGATTTCAAATTAACTATGTTGTATACATAGACTCAGCACAGACTTGTTCTATATAAGATCCTAATATTTAATATATAAAGTATATATATCAATCAACTTAACTTTGGCTTCATTGTTATGTTTTCCCTGCGTATTTCTGTATTTAGCTTTTGACTTATGTTGACTTATGTTGACTGTTATATTGTGTTCCAATTTTAAAAGATGTTGCAAAAAGCCGACCATCAAAGTAAAAAGTTATGTAATTAGATTTCCAATATTTACATTTGTAAATGAAAGTCATTGACTTAAAAGTTTAGAAGGCATTATACAAGCTTTTTAAGTACAGAAATATTTATTTTGCGGTGATTGTGAAGTGAATGCTGTCTTTCAAGTATTTGTGACAATCATTAACATTAAGATTACAGTTCACAGTTTGCTCTAACAGTACTTAAAAATCGAAAATCGGGTTAATACTTGAAAATGCAAACCTTGTTGGACTTTAAAAACACATTAAGCTACACTGACATAAATTTTATTTAAATTTCAATTTGAGTTCAATTTGTTGTAAGAATCAATGTATGTTTTTTTGTATGGTAAATGCATATTTGTGATTTTATCGTTGAACACTGTGATCGTAATCTGGTATCAAGTCTAAATCAAACTTTTGTGGTAGGTTTAAACTAGAAAATGTCACTGGATTGACACAAGCCATTAAACATAATTTGAATGACATGTTGTTCTGTAACCAACAATCGTAAGATGTTCTTACTAAGCCCCTTTAACCCAGTTGGTTTTATAATTCCTTTGTATCCTAGAAGGATCAGTCTCAGATTGACCGGCAGATTGACAGAGATGACCCTGTTGATCTTAAAGGTCAATCAGTATTATATTTCTGCCAAATGTAATCTACGTTAGAATGTATGTGATTTTTAGTTTGTTGTCATGTTTGTCAAAGGTTTACTCCCTTATGTAAACAGAATTAATTGTCCATTAGGTTGTACAGTAGTCGTTGTAAATACCTATATAAAAGTAAGGAGTTCCTACTGATGTTCAAAATGTAAGAAATGTAAGGAAATAAAAGTCTTTACAAGTGCCATATTTTTTATGCCCTTTTCTACAAATGCACCTTTTGACAATAGATGTACAATTGTCTCTGCTACTGTACATACATTTCGTACATTATACTGATTATGGATTTGGTTTATGTTTTTCTGTATTTCTCAGACCTATCATTATATATAACATATAAGGTAGTTTCACCACTACAATTTTTCCGGAGTATATCAGTTTTAAGTGATTTTTGCATTAAATACTGAAACAAACTAGAGCAGACCCACAAAAATACTGTAACTGAAGTCATCATGGTTATGCATAGGCATTTTCATCACAAACTTTACAAAGTACCTTGTTACGTCAAATATATGATCATGCTTATTAATAATTTTGCCACTGGCTTAATTGTGGCATTTCTTTTAGTGGATAAATTTTAGTCACATGGGACATTTATTTCATATAGAGTAAAAGATGCTGTGTTGTTTAAAATTTAGCTATTTAGCATAAAGTACAATCATTGTACTTGTATGATTGCCCTATTATATTGAAGTACATGTATGGGGTCGAATATTCTGCTAACTTCAAAAAGCTTCTGTAGATTAAAATTTTATTTATCTTTCCACTTGGGTAGTAATTTTCTATTTCACATGATTATCAATCAAGTTGTTAACAGCTAAACCATTTAACATCAACAGCTTTGTGTACAACTGTATGAACAAAATTACAAAGCAACATTTTTGTCGAGCCTGCGACTTTTGTCGCAGAAAGCTCGACATAGGGATAGCGATCCGGCGGCGGCGGCGGCGTTAGCTAACTTCTTAAAAGCTTTATATTTTAGAAGATGGAAGACCTGGATGCTTCATACTTTGTATATGGATGCCTCATGTTACGAAGTTTCCGTCAGTCACATGTCCAATGTCCTTGACCTCATTTTCATGGTTCAGTGACTACTTGAAAAAAAAGTTCAGATTTTTTGTAATGTTAAATTCTCTCTTATTATAAGTAATAGGATAACTATATTTGGTATGTGCGTACCTTGCAAGGTCCTCATGCCCGTCAGACAGTTTTCACTTGACCTCGACCTCATTTCATGGATCAGTGAACAAGGTTAAGTTTTCGTGGTCAAGTCCATATCTCAGATACTATAAGCAATAGGTCTAGTATATTCGGTGTATGGAAGGACTGTAAGGTGTACATGTCCAACTGGCAGGTGTCATCTGACCTTGACCTCATTTTCATGGTTCAGTGGTTATAGTTAAGTTTTTGTGTTTTGGTCTGTTTTTCTTATACTGTATGCAATAGGTCTACTATATTTGGTGTATGGAATGATTGTAAGGTGTACATGTTTAGCTGGCAGGTGTCATCTGACCTTGACCTCATTTTCATGGTTCAGTGGTCAAAGTTAAGTTTTTGAGTTTTGGTCTTTTTTTCTAATACTGCATGCAATAGGTCAGCTATATTTGGTGTATGGAATGATTGTAAGGTGTACATGTCTAGCTGGCAGGTGTCATCTTACCTTGACCTCATTTTCATGGTTCAGTGGTCAAAGTTAAGTTTTTGAGTTTTGGTCTTTTTTACTAATACTATATGCAATAGTTCAACTATATTTGGTGTATGGAAATATTTTATGATCTATATGTCAGTCACGCAGGTTTTATTTGACGTTGACCTCATTTTCAAGGTTCATTGCTCAGTGTTAAGTTTTTGTGTTTTCGTCTGTTTTTCTTAAACTATAAGCAATAGGTCAACTATATTTGTTGTATGGAAGAATTGTTAGCTGTACATGCCTGCCTAGCATGGTTCATCTGACCTTGACCTCATTTTCATGGTTCATTGGTCAATGTTTAGTTTACTTGGTTAATGTTAAGTTTATGTGACAGTTGTAATAAAGCTTTATATTTAGGACTATCAACATAATATCAATGATTAGTAAAGAAGGCGAGACATTTCAGCGTGTGCACTCTTGTTTAATTAAGTCCAGTACATTTTACTGCTACAAATTTCTGCCAAAATCTATTGCTTCAAAAAAAAATTATGGGTATGTTCTTAATTGAGTCTGTAAATATGGAAGATTAAAAGTATATATTATATATATATATTATTCACTGTTACTATCAACTGTGGACATGAGAGGGTAATGGCCATATTATTGTCGAGCCTGCGACTTTTGTCGCAGAAAGCTCGACATAGGGATAGCGATCCGGCGGCGGCGGCGGCGGCTACGGCGGCGGCGGCGGCGTTAGCTAACTTCTTAAAAGCTTTATATTTTAGAAGATGGAAGACCTGGATGCTTCATACTTTGTATATGGATGCCTCATGTTACGAAGTTTCCGTCAGTCACATGTCCAATATCCTTGACCTCATTTTCATGGTTCAGTGACTACTTGAAAAAAAAGTTCAGATTTTTTGTAATGTTAAATTCTCTCTTATTATAAGTAATAGGATAACTATATTTGGTATGTGCGTACCTTGCAAGGTCCTCATGCCCGTCAGACAGTTTTCACTTGACCTCAACCTCATTTCATGGATCAGTGAACAAGGTTAAGTTTTCGTGGTCAAGTCCATATCTCAGATACTATAAGCAATAGGTCTAGTATATTCGGTGTATGGAAGGACTGTAAGGTGTACATGTCCAACTGGCAGGTGTCATCTGACCTTGACCTCATTTTCATGGTTCAGTGGTTATAGTTAAGTTTTTGTGTTTTGGTCTGTTTTTCTTATACTGTATGCAATAGGTCTACTATATTTGGTGTATGGAATGATTGTAAGGTGTACATGTCTAGCTGGCAGGTGTCATCTGACCTTGACCTCATTTTCATGGTTCAGTGGTCAAAGTTAAGTTTTTGAGTTTTGGTCTTTTTTTCTAATACTGCATGCAATAGGTCAGCTATATTTGGTGTATGGAATGATTGTAAGGTGTACATGTCTAGTTGGCAGGTGTCATCTTACCTTGACCTCATTTTCATGGTTCAGTGGTCAAAGTTAAGTTTTTGAGTTTTGGTCTTTTTTTCTAATACTATATGCAATAGTTCAACTATATTTGGTGTATGGAAATATTTTATGATCTATATGTCAGTCACGCAGGTTTTATTTGACGTTGACCTCATTTTCAAGGTTCATTGCTCAGTGTTAAGTTTTTGTGTTTTCGTCTGTTTTTCTTAAACTATAAGCAATAGGTCAACTATATTTGTTGTATGGAAGAATTGTTAGCTGTACATGCCTGCCTAGCATGGTTCATCTGACCTTGACCTCATTTTCATGGTTCATTGGTCAATGTTTAGTTTACTTGGTTAATGTTAAGTTTATGTGACAGTTGTAATAAAGCTTTATATTTAGGACTATCAACATAATATCAATGATTAGTAAAGAAGGCGAGACATTTCAGCGTGTGCACTCTTGTTATAATTTCTTTGTTTTGTCTGTGTGAGATTGGTATGTAATTATATTTCATAGAATAGAGAATAGAAATGGGGAATGTGTCAAAGGAGACAACAACCTGACAAAACAGCAGAAAGGCCACCAATGGGTCTTCAACACAGCGAGAAAATCCTGGAGGCAGCCTTCAGCTGGCCACTCCCTAAGCAATAAAGTATACTAGTGAATTTAGTGAAATGGACGCCACACTAAACTCCAGATCATGCAAATGAACCAAAATTTAAAAAACACACAAGACTAAGAAAGGCTAGAGGTTCCTGACTTGGTACAGACGCACAAAATGCATAAAAGGTGTTATAGCCAGTTTGTTATGCTAAAATAAATAAGAAAAAAATGTGTTCTTAAAAAAGCACATGTTTCAACAGATTTCACTGGCCTTTTGGTCAATTTAGAGACCTGTGGCAGGTCATATATGTAGTAACCAAAGTTCCAGATGTTTAAAAACAAACTATAAACATTAAATTTGTTGTTTCAGGACTAAAGATTCCTGAACCAGAAACCAAAAGCTCCTGTACATGTCCTGATCATTTCTTCTCCTGTGGAAACTGTATATGTATTCCAAAGAAATGGGTCTGTGATGGAGACAATGATTGCTCCAATAACCAGGATGAAAAACATTGTGGTAAGTTACCATGGTTACTGTTGTCTTTGATGCTGACCTTGATCTGTACAATACAGCTGCTTTTAGCACTGGCCAAGATGACTAGTCATTTTGTTTAATAACTACCAGCACATGTACAGGCCTTTTGTTAGTTGATGGCACTTACCAGGATGGAAATGGTAAAAAGGTGGATGAAAAATATATAGCCATGAATTTTTACTTGAATCAAAAAAGAAATCTGAAATTAGAAGTTTGGTCTTGCAGGTAATATTAAGCTTCTCAACACATGATAAATAAACATGTTCCTTTTGAATTCTTTATAAAATATTTAAATAAAGATCAACACTCAAATTGACAGTGGTAAATTAAATTATTAGATGCTTTGGATAATAGTGTCAAAATAACTGTCTGACATATTGTTTTGTGCATTTAGACAGTAGATACAGCTAATCTCTTCTCAATTTTGAGTCTACATTAATTGTAAAAAGGTGCTATAACATGTATAATGCAGATCGCTGTATGCAGCACTAATGTGCAGTAACTGACAAAGCTGCCATTTAATATCTCTTTTGAAGAATGGTGATAAAATTACATGCAAATTAACAATTTGAATTTTTGAATTGCATAGATACATATTTGAAATTTTTCGGTTTTCTTCTTTGAGAAATTGTGCTACAGGCATGACAGGTCAGTATATAACTTGCAAATTTTTTTCATACACTTTCCAAATTTTTTCTTTAAATTTTATGTATGAAATATTAAGTACATGAAGTAGGGGATGAAATTACATGTTAAAAAAATTTAGGTGATGAATTTTATGTAAAGTAGTGATTTGGCTCAGTTAAAAAAGGTGAAAAATTAGTATGTCTGAATCTGTCAAACTGAATTATAGACCCCCCTTAACATAGAATTGTCCATATTTTGAGTTAGAGCTGGTAGATTTTTCTATAATTTTGATATTATTTGTTCCAAAAGTAGTACACTACACTATGAAAATCGTTTGAGATAGAGCAGGTGCGATTTTTTTAAATTTGAATTTATTGTCTTAAACAAATGCACTACAAAATAACTGTGTTCTCTGACCTACAGGAATAAAGAATATAGTGACAGAAATATATTTTTTAAAAAGTAATAATAAAGTAAAGTATATATTAAAAGTAGTAGTGTGGTGACATTGACATAAAATCTGTACAAAAATAGTTTGTGTGTAGTGTACATGATACATTCATTTTAACTGAAAGAAAAACTTCCCATACATGCCATAGTGACATTAAATAATGATTGATAACATATATTTTCTGTCAGTGAAGAAATGATTTTAGAACTATTTGCGAAATGGGCCCATTTTCTGAGGATCTACCAAGGGTGCCAACATATTTGTTTCTGTTACAGAATTAGAAAATTCAGTGACAAATTTTATCGTGTTGAATGTGCTATGAGAAAACAAACAGAAAATGTACCCTTAATAAGAAATTTAGTACTATGACAGTCATAGTATGACCTCTCTTCTTGATATGTTCTATTTAGGTGGAATATTGTATGAAATTCTGTAAATATTCTGGTTATACGACCGCAAAAAATTTTGCGGTCGTATATTGGTATCACATTGTCGTCTTCCGAAGACATTTGGTTTCCGGACAATAACTTTAGTATTAGTAAATAGAAATCTATGAAATTTAAATATAAGGTTTATAACCTCAAAAGGAAGGTTGGGATTGATTTTGGGGTTATGGTCTCAACAGTTTAGGAATTAGGGGCCAAAAAGGGGCCCAAATAAGCATTTTTCTAGTTTCATGACAATAACTTGTGGAACAGTGTATGGATCTCTCTGAAATTATACCACAAGTTTCCATACCACAAAGGGATGGTTAGGATTTGCTTTGGAGGGTTATGACTCAAACCGTTTAGGAATTAGGGGCAAAAAAGTGAGAAAAAACAAGGGTGTCCTGGTTAATGGACAATTATTTAAGTACAAATTACAGTGTAAGGGAGGTAATTCAAACACAACTTTGAATTACCTCCCTTACACTGCTTTTAAATTATGTAGAAAGAATTTTTGTATTGTCTTGGGGTGATTAGCTGTCAATTCATTTTTAGAAGTTACTATTTTAATAATTTTAAAAATGCTGATTAAGGTAAATTAATTTTAGCTATGATTATGTATGTCATTTTCTATTTTAAGACTTTTATGATGTATTTAAATGGGTTATTATGGTTGCAAACTCCATTGGAAATTTGAATTGAAATTAAGACCATGACTGAAGGAAAGAATTTTTTTTTTGGAAAAAGGGGGGTGGGGGTGGGGGGTGGGAGGTAAAAAAAATTGGAAGGGGGTAAAAAAAAAATTGGTGGTGGGGGGTGGGGGGGACAATTTTTTCTTCTCAAGATTTCAGTAATTAAAAAGAAAATCCTTCAAATTTATTTTTTTTTTTAAAAAGGGAGGGGGAGGTCAATTCGCAACAGCATAGTGTATTGCACAAAAGCAAATGAATTACAATCCAAATTCAGACCTGTATCAAGCGCAAATATTGTGTCCATTTTTGCCCCAACTGTTCAGGGTTGGACCTCTGCGGTTGTATCCAGCTGCGCTCGGCGAAGCAATTTATTTTATATGATGCAAAAGGAGATTATGATTTATTGCCAAATGACATAAAAGTTACAAGAAAAATGTGATAAAATAGGATATTTTAAATGTGGTGAGATTACTGATCAAAAGACCCAGACATTATAAAACTTACACTTTTTTGTCAAAGATTAAAATTTCTGCTGAAATCTTTGATTATGATTAATCTCATTTTACATCAAATGTCAAAATGGCAAATTTAAATTTAAATTTTATGCTATAAATGTATGATAATTTAGGTGTCTCATAAAAAAATTGAATAGCTGTATCTATCAAACCCATTAATCAAATGTACCTGGCACCAAGTAAAAAATTAAGCTTTACATTTTTCTTTTGTAACAAGGGATCTATCAATTTTAACTGTGATCAGAAGCCTGAGAATTTATGTATTTTCTGGACAGAGCTAGAGAGTTAAGAATTTTCAGTTGATTCATCATGTAGTGTCTATATATCCTGTCAAAGAGTTTTACATTGTCTATCAAACCTCTGTGTAAGAGTGGAGGTTCTTTATCAACACTTCTGACTTTTTCTGCTCCAACTTTGAAGTTGTAGGTAACAGGATCAATGTCTTTGTTCTATATTGAAATCATAAAGAAAGATTGACACATGTAATATTTAAAATGTAAGCTTTCCTCATTGCTTGACTGAATTATACTGAAAATTAATATTATGAAAGATTTAAGTTTTTGGGGTGCATCGCATATAAAATTGTTGAAACAGGATATGGGTGGATGAAATATTAGGAAATAGCCAATATATCAAAGGATCAGTGGTTATGTTGCTGTTTTTCTTATTCAACAGTTGCAGCTTACAGTGTTCATATTGGTTTCTCTCTAATTTTTCTTGATAACAACTAAACAGGCTATTAAAAGAAGTATTTATCAAATTGAATATAATGAGGTGACGTCTTTCTACAAATTCTATTATTAATTGTTAAAGACTATGGTCATAATAGTGGTCACAGTACATACTAAAATACTAAAGGTGTTTACTTGACAAAGTAACTACCTTAGTTTGGGTATTTTATAAATGGTTTGCATTGATTATTTCAAACCACAATCATGTCTGAACTGAGATATAATATAGCAATTATTTTGTGTAAGATTGAGTTTAAGTGTTCATTCAGAAAGTGCTGTTTGAATCAGGATACTCACAGAATTGAGTAAAAAGGTCCTATATGAGGCAGAACAGCTTTATGATTGAGTTTTCTTATCTTACTTTTAAAATTTGGCATGTTTTTCAGACAGGTCCTTTGGAGAATTTCCCAGACTTTACATTGACCTCTGTCAAAGCTATATCTCACAGAATACTGAAGTGTGTATCTTTGATCTGCCTTTTCCTTGAGAAATATTTGCATCAGTTTGTCTGCTGGTATAACAGTCTGCTAAACATCAGCACTCACTCAATGTAAATAAACTGTCAACAAATATATTGCTTTCAAGATAAAGTATCTATTCATTAATTTTGAATAAAAATTTCTTGTTAAAAGATTGGTGATCATACAACCACTTGATCAGCATAAAAAAAAGACACGTATCTGTTGAAATTAGAAAGTTAGTGCAGAAAAGAGTGTTTGTCAGAACTTTTCTTTGATTCAGATATTACATACACTTTGTGCACATTTAATGCTGGTATTAGTATGATAGGTTCTTCGATAAAAGATTTCATTAAACTACTGGTACACATTAAAACCATTCATGAACTCCATATTAAGTCTTATATTTGTTAAAAATAGTACTTGAAAAGTTAGTTTTAGGGGTCATGATGTGTACTTAGTTTGAAAAAAATAACACAATTAAAATGGAAAATAAATTACATGTCTTAATTGTTTTATTTTTGACTTTTTTTGGTTAACATCATTTATGCCCTTCTCAAAGGGAGGTAACCCAAGATGATAATACATCATTTATGCCCTTCTCAAAGGGAGGTAACCCAAGATGATAATACATCATTTATGCCCTTCTCAAAGGAAGGTAACCCAAGCTGATAATACACTTTGATCTGTAGTTTGGACAGTCAGTTTTTAACAAAACGATGTTTTATGCAAGAAGAGCTGTCAGACAAGATAAGGAAGAGTGGTTTTGATATATCTGATTGTGACCATTCAGGAATTCGGGAAAAATTTGAGGTTTGTCACAATTACAAACAATGATATGTTTCATTCACAATCCTCTGTGAAACTTGTGTTTGAGATGTCTTTTTCTGCCTGTTAGACTGTCTGCTCAAACTAACCTTGCCTTTTGCCAGATGCCACTGCATTAAAAATAAAAATAGGTGTTGAAAATATCATCATTTAGACTTTCTGTTTTCTAAATGAGGAAAAATGAACTTTAAGTTAATTGTTTTCTGAGATGGCACATAATCTGTGCTGCTTTCTATTACTATTTTTTTTATACTTTAACTAACTATAGAACAAAGGAAAGAATGTTTCAATAAAAATTCAGCTTATTCATACCACTTAACAAGGTGAGCCTTGGAAAAACTTTTCTTGGGAAATAAAAGTTCTTTCCTTTAGTAGCCCATAGATTGGCAAGGGACCATTGGTCTGTGGACCCCCACTAATTTTACATCCTTATATATTTGCATACTTTATACCATAGAATACTATAGTGTACATAATTTAACTCTGCATGAGAGTTTAATTACATTGACTTGTCTTTAACTTGGATACATCAGATTAGTAAGGTTAACACTATATCATATAAAAGTTTTTGATGAGCTTTCTGTGGGGGATTAAGTCTCAGTCAGTATGACTACTGTACCAATCTCAAAACAAATTTCAAAACACATAGTTTGACAAATAATCTGTTTATAATTGCCAACACTATGAAAAATTCACTGAATTGCTTAATCATGTTGTAAATAAAGTCACATGGCTTTCTGAAAGCAAAATATTGGTAGTGGTAGACTTAAAGTCTTCTGACAGAGTCGGTCAGGTGTCAATCATTCAAAAGAATTGTCATTCATACTTTTTCTTATCATTGAATAATGTGATATTTAGTGGCACAAAGATAATATATACTTCACCTGTAGGTTGACATGTTCTTTTGATGTCATATTAATCAGGTGTTATCAGGTGTAAAAAATAACTCAATTATAGAAGTGAATATGAAACTAGATATCAGATTATTAGCATGTGCATTTTTTGCTGCATATTTTGGATAAAATTACTAAATATTTTGTTTACAGTACATTATTCAGTCTATTATTTAAAGGTTTTATTTCATAAGATATTGTTTAAACTGTCAAAATTTCAGACTAGGTAACGACAGTCAATATCATATTTATAAAAAAATTTAAAACTTGTCATTAAAATGTATATCTATACTTTTATTTTAATTTGACTTTATGATTATTTTATAATTTATTAATCAAGGTATGTAGCATTCATTGACTATACATTGTAGGTTTCCAAATCAGCAAAAAATACAAAACTATCTAATGAAAATTAATATAATTTATTGCAATTATATTATGTCTGGTAAAAAACTTAAGTGTAAGGAGGTTAATGGTAAATGTACACAATGTCCTTTTCTGTGGTAATTCTGATTCATTAGCGGCATACATTCAATTTATACCCCTTTTACCTGTTTACCAGCAGACAAATGACCACTGAAGGAGTGAGGAGACATTGGTTACCTTTCTATTTTCCCCCTTTTTCTTTTACATTTTTGCATGATAGATCTCTGTACATTAGAACTATTTGAAATTTTTGGTATTAAGTATTGAATTGGTGAGTTGAAAGTTGTAATTTATTTTTTGCTTACCTATGTCTCTAGGTCAAAATATATCATATCTGATAAAAATTCATGACAGACTTATCAAATAGTTTGAAAAATGTAAATTTTACCATGATATTGAGTTTCTAGGGGTAATGCATTTCCTGTTTTAGACTGTAGCTCACATATGGTTCCTGTATATATATGACATCTAAAATTATGTCATACAGAAATTGTTCATGTACTGTGATCATTTTAACTTGCTTTTGTGTGTGTGTGTGTGTGTGTGGGTGCAATGATTTAAAGTTTCGTTAAGTTTTCTTAGAATTTATATATAGATATGGAGAAGATGAAAAATTTTCTGTAACTTTAAAATTCCATAAGGATGGATCTGAAAGGGGACCTATCTACAATTCAAGACTTTGTAAATCATTTTTTGAGTGATCTACTAAAACAGTCATTTATACATTCACTTTCATATGATTTATAATAGTATTACTGCTATACTTTAACATAAAGAAGAATTGTAATTAACATACAGTCATATGTTGCCAATTATTACAAATGATCTTCATATTATACAAGAAAAATTATTTCTGCTTTATGTGTAAGGATGAAGTCAGTTAATCTAAAGAAAACTATTATTCTTTTGGCAAAGTCTCTGTCTGCTTTCAGAAGAATCAAAATACAAATCTTGATCCTTATGACAAAACTGATCCCTTTCTGTTCCATTCTTATGACTAATCCACTTTGATGTCCCCTTTCTGCTCCATTCTTATGACTAATCCACTTTGATGTCCCCTTTCTGCTCCATTCTTATGACTAATCCACTTTGATGTCCCCTTTCTGCTCCATTCTAATGACTAATCCACTTTGATTTCCTCTTTCTGTTCCCTCTTTATGACTAATCCACTTTGATGTCCCTTTCTGTTCCCTCTTTATGACTAATCCACTTTAAGGTCCCCTTTCAGTTCCATCCTTATGATTTATTCACTTTGAGGGCTCCTTTCTGATACCTCCTTATGAATAATCAGCTTTGAGGTCCCCTTTCTGTTCCATCCTTATGACTTATCTACTTTGTGGTCCCCTTTCTGTTCCATCCCTATGAATAATCTACTTGGAGGATCCCTTTCTGTTCCATCCTTATGACTTATCTACTTTGAAGTCCCCTTTCAGTTCCATCCTTATGACTAATCTACTTGGAGGTCCCCTTTCAGTTCCATCGTTATGACTAATCAACTTGAAGGTCCCCTTTCTGTTCCATCCTTATGAGTAATTCACTTTGAGGATCCCTTTCTGTTCCATTATTATGACTAATAGACTTTGAGGTCCCCTTTCTGTTCCCTCTTTATGACTAATCTACTTGGAGGTCCCCTTTCTGTTCCATCCTTATGACTACTCCACTTGGAGGTCCCCTTTCTTTTCCATCCTTATGACTAATCCACTTGGAGGTGACTGGTCCCCTTTCTGTTTCATCAATATGACATTATGTCTAATCTACTTTGAGACGCCTTTCAGTTCCGTCCTTATGACTAATCCACTTGGAGGTCCCCTTTCTGTTTCATCCTTATGTCTAATCGACTTTGAGGTCCCCTTTCTGTTCCCTCTTTATGACTAATCTACTTGGAGGTCCCCTTTCTGTTCCATCCTTATGACTACTCCACTTTGAGGTCCCCTTTCAGTTCCATCCTTATGACTAATCCACTTGGAGGTCCCCTTTCTCTTTCATCCTTATGTCAAATCAAATTTGAGGTCCCCTTTCTGTTCCCTCTTTATGACTAATCTACTTGGAGGTCCCCTTTCTGTTCCCTCTTTATGACTACTCCACTTAGAGGTCCCCTTTCTTTTCCATCCTTATGACTAATCCACTTGGAGGTCCCCTTTCTGTTTCATCCTTATGACTACTCCATTTGGAGGTCCCCTTTCTTTTCCATCCTTATGTCTAATCTACTTGGAGGTCCCCTTTCTGTTTCATCCTTATGACTACTCCATTTGGAGGTCCCCTTTCTTTTCCATCCTTATGTCTAATCTACTTGGAGGTCCCCTTTCAGTTCCATCGTTATGACTAATCAACTTGAAGGTCCCCTTTCTGTTCCATCCTAATGAGTAATTCACTTTGAGGATCCCTTTCTGTTCCATTATTATGACTAATAGACTTTGAGGTCCCCTTTCTGTTCCCTCTTTATGACTAATCTACTTGGAGGTCCCCTTTCTGTTCCATCCTTATGACTACTCCACTTGGAGGTCCCCTTTCTTTTCCATCCTTATGACTAATCCACTTGGAGGTGACTGGTCCCCTTTCTGTTTCATCAATATGACATTATGTCTAATCTACTTTGAGGTCGCCTTTCAGTTCCGTCCTTATGACTAATCCACTTGGAGGTCCCTTTTCTGTTTCATCCTTATGTCTAATCGACTTTGAGGTCCCCTTTCTGTTCCCTCTTTATGACTAATCTACTTGGAGGTCCCCTTTCTGTTCCATCCTTATGACTACTCCACTTTGAGGTCCCCTTTCAGTTCCATCCTTATGACTAATCCACTTGGAGGTCCCCTTTCTCTTTCATCCTTATGTCAAATCAAATTTGAGGTCCCCTTTCTGTTCCCTCTTTATGACTAATCTACTTGGAGGTCCCCTTTCTGTTCCCTCTTTATGACTACTCCACTTAGAGGCCCCCTTTCTTTTCCATCCTTATGTCTAATCCACTTGGAGGTCCCCTTTCTGTTTCATCCTTATGACTACTCCATTTGGAGGTCCCCTTTCTTTTCCATCCTTATGTCTAATCTACTTGGAGGTCCCCTTTCTGTTCCTTCATTGTGACTAATCCACTTGGAGGTCCCCTTTCTTTTCCATCCTTATGTCTAATCAACTTGGAGGTCCCCTTTCTGTTTCATCCTTATGACTTATCCACTTGGAGGTCCCCTTTCAGTTCCATCCTTATGTCTAATCCACTTGGAGGTCCCCTTTCTCTTTCATCCTTATGTCAAATCAAATTTGAGGTCCCCTTTCTGTTCCCTCTTTATGACTAATCTACTTGGAGGTCCCCTTTCTGTTCCCTCTTTATGACTAATCAACTTGGAGGTCCCCTTTCTGTTCCCTCTTTATGACTAATCAACTTGGAGGTCCCCTTTCTGTTTCATCCTTATGACTAATCCACTTGGAGGTCCCCTTTCAGTTCCGTCCTTATGACTAATCCACTTGGAGGTCCCCTTTCTCTTTCATCCTTATGTCAAATCAAATTTGAGGTCCCCTTTCTGTTCCCTCTTTATGTCTAATCAACTTGGAGGTCCCCTTTCTGTTTCATCCTTATGACTAATCCACTTGGAGGTCCCCTTTCAGTTCCATCATTATGACTACTCCACTTGGAGGTCCCCTTTCTTTTCCATCCTTATGACTAATCCACTTGGAGGTCCCCTTTCTGTTTCATCCTTATGACTACTCCATTTGGAGGTCCCCTTTCTTTTCCATCCTTATGTCTAATCTACTTGGAGGTCCCCTTTCTGTTCCCTCTTTATGACTAATCCACTTGGAGGTCCCCTTTCTGTTCCTTCATTATGACTACTCCACTTGGAGGTCCCCTTTCTTTTCCATCCTTATGTCTAATCAACTTGGAGGTCCCCTTACTGTTTCATCCTTATGACTAATCCACTTGGAGGTCCCCTTTCAGTTCCATCCTTATGACTAATCCACTTGGAGGTCCCCTTTCTCTTTCATCCTTATGTCAAATCAAATTTGAGGTCCCCTTTCTGTTCCCTCTTTATGACTAATCTACTTGGAGGTCCCCTTTCTGTTCCCTCTTTATGACTACTCCACTTGGAGGTCCCCTTTCTTTTCCATCCTTATGACTAATCCACTTGGAGGTCCCCTTTCTGTTCCATCATTATGACTACTCCACTTGGAGGTCCCCTTTCTTTTCCATCCTTATGACTAATCCACTTGGAGGTCCTCTTTCTGTTCCATCATTATGACTACTCCACTTTGAAGTCCCCTTTCAGTTCCATCCTTATAACTTATCAACTTGGAAGTCCCCTTTCTGTTCCATCCTTATGACTTATTTACTTTGCGGTCCCCTTTCTGTTCCATTCTTATGACTTTTCCACTTGGAGGTCCCCTTTCAGTTCCATCTTTATGAGGAAAAAATATAATGATATTGCCTTAATGAACTGAAAGTAGGCCCTGTTAGTCAACCAACTCCCTGTTGTGTTAATTGATTGATTGATTGTTAGTTGCTTAACATCCAATGGTCAGTGAATTGAAATTCTAGATCTTAATATCATATGAATAAAAGAAGATTTATGGTATACTTTATTCAGAGTTAAAAGCCCCACAAAACACCAAAAGACATCTAGTGGTCAATATTATTTTTCTTTATTTGTAAAATATTATCTTTTTTGTTGTCAAATCTTGGAGTTATCTATTTGAGAATAAACCACAGTAGATGCCTAGACCATCAATAAAACAATCAAAGTTTGGATGTATTGAGTTCAGATAGGGTGTGATACCTTATCCACACTGTGTAAATGATCCTTTATGAAATGTAACTTTGTATAACTGATATATGGTGATATTATTAATCAAATATTTTTAAGGATTTGTGATTTGTTAAAACTTGATCACATGTACATTTGTATTTATTCAGTTTGCATGCCAATACTATTGTGTTTAGCTTTTCGTAGTTCAAAAACAGCATATTGCACAGGGCATACAGCATGTTACTAAAAATACATTCTAGAAATCCACAATTTTACATGGTTCATACAATATTTGTTGATTAATAATATAACAATTGTAGCCTTTGGTTGAGGTCAATATGATGTTATAACGACCTCATACAAAGGCTATAATTGTATAACTTTTCTGTATGAAGTATTCTGTGTGAAATGTGTCGTCATGCTAAAATCAAAACAACAAGAAGGCTCTTTTTCAGAGAATGTCGTAATACAAAAGCACATTACCCAGTTACTCTATAGAACTGGGAAGTAACTATACACTTAAGGATGAAGTTGCTCCTCTTGTTTTTGAATTTTTGTCAGATATTCGAAATCCTCTGGTTTTATCCATGTAGTGCCAATAAATATTTTGCCCGCTAACCCCTACTTTTCTTTTCCTAATTTTATTAAGTCTCCCAAACAAAGTTTGGGAAGACTTATTGTTTTTGCTCAGTTATTATTATTCCCCTTTTCTTCTTCCTCTTCCGCCGCTTTTAAATTTGAACTTGTCCGCACCCATTCTCCAAATCCATGTCTAGTGGTGCAATCAGGGTTTTGTTTGTGCAATGGGGTTTATAAAGGGGTACTTTGAGGGGCAAAAAGAAAAGAGGGTTTTAATAAAGAACCCTATGGGATTTTATTTTTTAAAATTTTCAAATGAAAATAAATTGAAAACCGTTTGTGATAGACACAATCTTTTTAATTGAAAATGTTCTAAATGATAAAGCACATTAAATGAAATACAGGGTTAGTCCCCAGGGGTCACCCCCACCCCCTGCCATTTAAGAAAGTTCTAATACATTGTAAGTGGTCAAGATCCCCACCCCTAAACATATATATTTTGGTTTGTCATGCTAAGATTGTTTGAATGATATACAGGGTTAGTCCCCAGGGGTCATCCCGACCCCCTGCCATTTGAGAAAGTTCTAATATCTTGTAAATGGTCGAGATCCCCACCCCTAAACCATATATATTCTGGTTTGTCATGATAAAGCACATCAAATGTCATACAGGGTTAGTCCCCAGGGGTCACCCCCACCCCCTGCCATTAAAGAAAGTTCTAATACCTTGTAAGTGGTCAAGATCCCCACCCCTTAACCATATATATTTTGGTTTGTCATGCGAAGATGGTTTGAATGATATACAGGGTTAGTCCCCAGGGGTCATCCCGACCCCCTGCCATTTAAGAAAGTTCTAATATCTTGTAAATGATTGAGATCCCCACCCCTAAATCATATATATTCCTATTTGTCATGTCTCGAACATTTGAATGACGTATACGGTCAGTCCCCAGGGGTTCCCCCCACCCCCAATGTTCTAATATCTTGTAAATGGTTGAGATCCCCACCCCTAAACCATATATATTCCTGTTAGTCATGTAACGAACATTTGAATGACGTATAGGGTCAGTCCCCAGGGGTTCCCCCCACCACCCAATGTTCTAGTATCTTGTAAATAGTCGAGATCCCCACCCCTAAACCATATATATTCTGGTTTGTCATGCCAAGATGATTTGAATGATATACAAGGTTAGTCCCCAGGCATCACTAATGCATATAACTTTACTGGACCAAACCAATTTTCACTGGACGTTGCCCAATGTCAGGCGACCCTGGGAATAACGAATTATGGAATCTTCGTTTTCCAGTATCCTGTTACAATCATTTCTTGTTACATATAGTTTAAAAAAGCCATATTTGAAAATCTTATAAAATTCTTGTTATTTTTTCATAGTTTTTGAATGAAAAAAGGTGCCAATGTTAAATGTATGAACAATCTAGAGAGAATCATTTCCCTCCAATTTTTCAATGGCTTATATCTCAAAAACAAGGACTCGAGCCCTTCATTTTTTTTTCTGCTGTTTTAGTTCTGTTTTTTATATACTATCAACTTATAACAGTCTTTCAAAAAGCTTGTTATTTTGAAACAGAGTAGCGAACATCCTTAAATTATACAAAGGCACATTTACAGGGGACAAAGAAAAGATAAGCCAGGCGCAGACTCCATTATAAATGTCATGATAACAGAGAAGTAACAGTACAACAGAATTACAATGTTTCAAGGCACATTTTTCTGCAAACACACCCTGGAACAGCTACATTAAAAATACACCAAAAATATAAAAGCACTGTACAATAGTGAAGTAACAACGCCCTAGAAATATAGAGGCACATTTTACTGGAGACTCAATCTATAGGAAAGCAACGATACACCATAAATACAGTTGTAGTTTTCTTTGTTGGCACTCTGTACAAAAGTGAAGTAATAACGCACTAGAAATATAGAGGCACATTTTACTGGAGACTCAATCTATAGGAAAGCAACGATACACCATAAATACAGTTGTAGTTTTCTTTGTTGGCACTCTGTACAAAAGTGAAGTAACAACGCACTAGAAATATAGAGGCACATTTTACTGGAGACTCAATCTATAGGAAAGCAACGATACACCATAAATACAGTTGTAGTTTTCTTTGTTGGCACTCTGTACAAAAGTGAAGTAACAACGCACTAGAAATATAGAGGCACATTTTACTGGAGACGCTATCTATAGGACAGCAATGATACACAATAAATACAGTTGTAGTTTTCTTTGTTGGCACTCTATACAATAGTGAAGTAACAACGCACTAGAACTATAGAGGCAATATAAAACTTCCATGGTAGTATTCAGTTGTTTTATATTAGCAAAAAAAAAAACAGAAGTAAATCAACTTTTATGTGATTGATAAAAAAATTATCATAATGTACTTCAATATTATTTTTTCTTGATAAAACTAAGTTTTAGAAGGTTAATGCTAAATGGTTAATGTACACAATGGACTTTTCTGTATTCTGTCAGACTTCAGTTCACATAAGGCTGTACCTGCAAAACAACATCACTTTTCTTATTAGACAACCTCTTCAACAGTTAAATAACTGAAAAGTAGAAAAACAAAAGAAAATTTGACAGTGCCCACTGTGGTGTACTTTACTGTGAGCTAGAAAAATAGAAGCACATTTTATACAAACTTAAGACACTATTTAAGCAATGTGTTACCACAGTAAGTCTTTTAAAGATCACCCAAGACACCAGTCCTTTGAAGAATGAATGCAGGGGTGCGAATAATAGATTACAAGGTTAAAGGTCACATAATCTAGTCTTAAAGCAAAAACCGATTTATATTAATCAAATAGCTAAAATAATCTAATTTAAATCTAAAATAAACATTAACTACCATCTGCCTTAAATCAGAAATTGTGTAAACTTTTGTATTTGCTTTTTAGTTTTTTTTTGTGCTTGTGGAATATTTGCACATCACCTTATATAAAATGTATCCTGAATACATCTATGAAAGTACAACTTAATATCAACTAGAAAAAATAATATGACAACATTTATTTAACTGGCCATAAATAGAGGTTGCTATAAAGATTATCCAAATAAGGAAAATTTGAGTGAATTATTCTTGATATTGCAAGTACCTGTATATATTTGAGTATGTCATTACCTCCTTGGCAATAGATGTCTCTCGTTAACATTATAACAATTAGTATCAAGTACCAGTGATCATTGTTATAAATCATGTAAGTGGATTACAAGTGTCTGTTTAGCCAGGAAATTGATGCTTGGCATCTATTTGTGAATTTGTTTCAAAGAAAATGTTTATATTTATCATATAGATAAAAAAAAAGACATATTGTTTTTAATAACTGACATAATATCATGTCTGCTAGTTAAGTAGTAATAGTCTAAAGGTCTAGTGTTTGTGTTTGTATGGTCTTTGATCTGGGCCTTGTGACAGTCTGTGTTCAGCCCAATATTTGATGAGAAGTCTGGTATTGTGGTCAATGTACTATATTGATTTCATTGTCAAGTAGCCATTGCCAGCTCATGTTTTTAGAGGGCATGTATTTCTTACATAGAGCATATATGTAATGTGTAGGTTGAAAAAAAGATCATTTGTGTCAATTTTGAACTGTTGTATATATATTTCATTGTTGGAATATAGTATAATGGTGGGGTTGGGGGTCAATAAGAATTACTAATAAACTTAACATTGTCCAAAAGACAAGTGTGAGTTGCTTTCATTGCTTGCCATTTGTCCTCAGTCAATGATAGAAATAATCTTCCTAAAACCACTGGGATCACAATCATCATTTTGGTGTTTAGTTTCAAATCTTTGATATTTCTGTTGACCAACAAACATGTTTGCTGACCATTTTTTTTAAGTTTCCTTTTTTTATTCATCCTATAAGTCATATGATTCTCCTATTTTGCAATTAAAACCAACCAAAATTAATAAAAAATATAAATTTTCTAGTAAAAAACAAATATTTGAAAAAAAGCTATTTAGTAATTCAAATGATAGGAATGATGATTATACTGTTCACATCATAGTATTTACCCATTGAACCAGCTTGTAAAGATTACTGCAGAATTTTCATAGTATTTGCAGCAAAGAAAAAAATAATGATTTCCAAATGTTTCTCAAACTCATTTAAATTTAAAAAACATTTATAAAGCAATTGAAAGATAACCCCTCTGCTACAGTTTGTGCTTGCATTGAATTCTTCCTTATAAAATTAAAACTGTTAGAAAAAATATTATATTCTACATGATTTTACAAATATTACCCTATGACACTTATATCAAGAAATTTTGAAGGACACATTGTTTTACTTTTCATAAAATATAGTAGTATGTAAGGCAAGAATTGATTGGATATATGAATGATAGTAAACACCCAGTAAATAATTAGTAAATAATTAAGTCATCTATATAATACAAAAAAACTAATACATTACAATTATGTTGAATTTAAAGGTGTCCAATATATGCATAGTGGAATTACAGGCAATTTAATTTTATCTATAAAAAATACTTGCACAACAAAATTTAATTCATTTCTACTAATATGAAATTTTACAAATCCATTTAAATAATTACAGCCAAGAAATGATTCCCATAGAAAAGAATATGTTATCAGAGTGAACTCTTCTTGACTAGCTACCAGTTAAAGCCTATTGATTTCACAACTATTCGTAAAACTACGTTTTTCTCAACAATTCAATCATTCTTCTACTCAGCTACTCTTGATTATTGAATTTCTGAGTTTCTAAATATTTCTACATAATTAAAAGCTGAGATATGATTGACAAACACACCCAGGTGCTAATATTGGGTTTGTGTCCATGTTTTATTAGGTTTCAGGTAGCCTTTGAATTGACACAGGTGTTCACTTTGATGTATAACACACCTGTTATCACCTGTAGTCCTGACCATCTTGCCTACATGTTCTTACATCTGATTATAGATCAACATGATATATTTACATACATGATTTGTAAATAAATAAGTCTTCTTTGAATTAAAATATGTAATGCATGCTATGAAATTTTGTTTCCTTTTAAATTTATTTACAAAAAGATGTATAATAAATCAAACCATTACATGCATGCTGTGCAGTTTTAAATTCAGGTGCAAAACTTTTGTTTGCATTTAACATTGAAATTCGTGCTGTGAAGTTCTACTGTTTCATTGTCAGTTAGAATTTTAATTCAACCAATAAAATATTGGCATCTGCTGAAGGTCAGAGCTGAAGGTTAAATGTAACATTTCAGTATAAATGGACACAAAGTATTTGTACTATACAAATTATCATTTCTCTGAATTATTAATGTGATCAAATGTACCTTGGCAAATTAGATATACTCCGTCATAGTTACTAGGCTTGAAATTTTGTATGCCAGACAAGAGATTCTTCTACAAAAAACTTGTGAGGGACACTCAAATCAAAAAAGTTAAAAAGGCCAAGCAAAGGTTGGCAGCTCAGAGGATTGAAATAATCCAGATTTTAGGCCACTATTTATAAATGTTATATAATTCAATTAACCTGATATACATGTATTAGGCCTTCGCTACAAAAAATGTCAATAAGGCATTGAACAACATAAAGCTTTTTTAACAAAGTTGACATTTTTGGTCTGCCTGCAAACTTACTGAAAAACAGTCATTCAAATTCATTAAATTCTTGCATTTTTTTTTTATTATATCAGAAAAAATGTAGAATGATGAGAATCAGATTTTAAAATAGTACTGGCTTTTCAAATGACAATGATGAACCGTCTTAGTAGTCATGTGGTAGCGGTCTTGCCTCAAGTGCAGGCGGTCTTGCGTTTTTCCCAGGCCGGGTTAAGTCCAAAGACTTTTGTATTTGCTGCTTCTCCCCTAGGCATGTGGTACTATGGAGTAACAGCAAAGACTGGTGGGCCTAAAGTTGAAACAATGTGTCCAGGAAGGGCGACATGTCTTCTTGCAAACTGTTATCTTGTGAAATAGCACGATAAAAGTCAGGCTCTGAGTGTGATGGTCTAGTACAAAGCAGGGTTCATATCCATCTCACATCAACATGTTCTAGTTCTTCATATGCATTTAACTTGGTGCTCAGACAGTGCTGGATGTTAAATAGCCATCCATACCCATCACATGATGATGACATTGTTTGTAAACAACTTCTTGTATTCCTCAATTCCCATTGATTTGTCCATTGTTCAACATTTGCATTAAAAAATGAAAGCAGTATTTTTAATTTACATGAGTAAGCTTCTTTTCTTGTGTACTGAATGAGACCAATTGAGTACTTTGCCCTGATTTTTTGTGTTTTAAATAAAACAGCACCATGACCTATATTTTTATTTTTATTTTTTCAGATCAAACATGCCTTCCAAACCACTTCACATGTAACAACCAGCGATGTGTAAAAATAGAATGGCTTTGTGATGGAGATAATGACTGTGGGGATGACAGTGATGAACTCAGTTGTCGTAAGTTACTGTTACTATAGTGATGAACTCAGTTATCATGAGTAACTTGTAAAATTAATGAACTCAGTTTTCGTAAGTTACTGTTGTTATATTGATGAACTTAGCTGTACATTACTGGTGTTATAGTGACCTCAGTTGTTATGACCTTCTATTCAAGTGATGAACTCTGTTGTCATAAGCTACTGTTATAATGATGAACTCAGTTGTCTGAAGTAACTTGCTACAGGGATGAACTCAGTTGTTGTTAGTAACTGTTGTTATTGTGTGTGACAAATTCAGTTGTTGTTAGTTACTGTTGTTTTAGTGATGAACTCAGTTGCTGTAAGTTACAATTGTCATAGAGATGAACTCAGTTGTCATAAGTTACTGCTCAGTTGTCTTAAGTAATTTGTTATAGTGATGAATTCAGTTGTTGTTAGTTACTGTTGTTATTGCGATGTACTCCTTTGTTTTTTACTGTTGTTATGGTCATGAACTTAGTTGTAGTAAGTTACTGTTGTCATACAGGGGTTAAAAAATCCACTAGCCCGACGCCCGGGACTAGAACATTTACACCTGGGCAATCAAAACTTTCATCCAATATGCCAGACGGACTAGTAGAAAAAATTATTGGCATTAACAAAATACACAGTGGAAAATCCCTTCCTCACTTTTTTTATCTTAGCCAATTGGATTCAATTACTTCATTCATGATTCCAGGATTTGAACAGATATTTTTACATGTTTTAAAAATAGAACAAATAACTGGGTAGACCGGTATCATGTATTGAACATGTACTTTCAATAATGATTTCTCAGTTCTGAGGGGTATTGTATACTACTCATGCTAAAACTTACAATTAACAGTACTGAGGGTATGATGCATTGATTGATATGACCTGTTTGCGCAAATCTAATTAATTTAGTAAAAATGATTTAGCCTATCAGAAATACATATTCAAATATTTTTTTAATTTAGAAAAAAACGACAGAACCAGTTTGTTAACAAGTACATGTGTACCCGTGTGTGAGATTTAATTATGCATCCAAATTCTTCAAAAATGCTTAAATATCATTGATACCTTTATCTTGCATTCATTTCAAGAATTGTTTTGAAGAAATAGTGGTGGAGTGAACTATTTAAACTCAATTGTGCTTTGTAAATGTACATAGATTTTATGTACCTATCTCTGATCTCTACTTTTACTATTGTCTAGTCAATATCCGGTATTAGGAAAATGTGCTTTTAAACACAAATATAAAGCTCTGACAGCGTGATATTGCATTAATAAAGAGTCAAAGGCAGATTTTTATACACTTGTGTTGAACATTTCATAAGATGCACTGTCAATGTAACAGTTTACGTCAGAACATCTGATTTAAAAAGTCTGAAGTTTAATATCGTTGTTATGTCAATCATTGTTATGATGCTCAGATTATTACCATGTCATGATTGCCCTTTGTTACTAAGTCTTACGCCGTTACGGGATTGAAATCTGAATAACAAAAAAATGTCTGTCTGGCTCAAGTGTTTTTGAAAGCCTGGGCTAGCAGTTCTTCCATCAGGACTAGTAATATCCTGCTACCAATAAGTTGTGGGCTAGTGAGCTGTAGCAAAATTTTTGAACCCCTGTGTCTGTCTGTCCCACATCAGGTTATATGTTTAAGACAAGGTTGTTTATCATGAAGTTGTGGTCACATCAACTTCAAAAAATTAGTACACATGTTCATTATGATGTTAACTTTTGAAGCTTTGCGCCAGTTAGGGTTTTGACCCAAATTTCAGAGTTCTTTGAAGGTTAACATGTGATTATGTGATATCCTATTGGACACATATTCTTGTTACTGTAATCTTAGTCTTGATCTCAGTTGTCCTCAGTTACTGTGAAGGTCAGTGGACCTCTCTGGGCACTCTGGCTTTCTCCACCAATAAAAACTGACCTCCACGAAATAGCACAACAGTCCTCAGTTACTGTTGGTACTCTCTCTGAGTATACAAGATTCCTTACACCAACTCTTTTCTGAGAATATATGTTTGGATCTGCTATGAGAATAAACACGCATTCACTTCCAAGCTGAGTAGAAATTTACCTTTAACATGTTTAAGATTCTTTATGCATATTTCAGCCTTAAAGGGTTGAACCTAATCAGTTTGTATGAAATGATGTTTGTATATATATCATAAAAAAGAAGATGTGGTATGATTGCCAATGAGACAACTCTCCACAAGAGACCAAATTCTTTGTGTTTATTTCAGCCTTTAAGGATTGAACCTAATCAGTTTGTTTGAAATGATGTTGTGTTTATTTCAGCCTCTAAGGGTTAAACCTAATCAGTTTGTATGAAATGATGTTGTGTTTATTTCAGCCTCTAAGGATTAAACCTAATCAGTTTGTATGAAATGATGCTGTGTTTATTTCAGCCTTTAAGGATTGAACCTAACCAGTTTGTATGAATTAATGTTGTGTATATTTCAGCCTTTAAGGATTAAACCTAATCAGTTTGTATGAAATGATGTTGTGTTTATTTCAGCCTCTAAGGGTTGAACCTAATCAGTTTGTATGAAAAGATGTGTTTATTTCAGCCTCAAAGAACTGCAGTACTGATCAGTTCCCGTGCAGTGATGGAAGTTGTATACCCAAACATTGGAAATGTGACCATGACCCTGACTGTACTCATGGAGAAGATGAAAGGAACTGTGGTAGGTAATCTGTACAATAAGATATCTTATCCCTTTGATATATAATAGTTATATACTTACATGTCATGTTGAGGTTGTCTCGTGTACATCCAACTCAGATTAGTTCTTTTCATGATTTATTTAGACAATAAAACCTTTCATAATTTCTATTATAGAGTTATTTCAGACATTAACATCATAATCAGATGTTTTGATTAGTTTGAAAAAAAATGCAACTTGGTTTAGAGTGAATTAATTAAAATTCACATGTTTATTCTGATCATGAATTGTTCAGTTAGAGTTTTAATAAATTTTGAATTGCAGTCAATTTTTGATGATTTGAATCAATAACTGTCTTAATTAATTTCTAGTGTACAGAACTTACATTGATATTATCTTAATAATTATGGTTATAATATCACACATAACTTTGTAGCAAAAGTACACTTATTTTTTTGGTAGACTTTCATAAAGATTGGACACTTGTATTGTTAGCTTTGCATCTCTTGAGAAATGTGAAGACACTTACATATATGAGATGATAGAATAGAGTTTGGATGGCAAAACCGTTCACTTTTACATATAGTAAACATTTTTATCCTGTTTATATTGTGAATGGACTGATAAATTGGCAGTTTAAGAATCTGAGAGATGTAATGAAATTAGAACAATCCACTATTGTCAATACATTTTTTAACCAATCACAACACGTGTGTACACTTTTGAAAGTATTACCCAGAGTGCATAAGTTCTGAAACATTGAATAAGCAATGTCTTTATCTTGCTGTAATACATGAGATTTTAAGCTGAGTGTTGAAAACCTGTCAACCACTGTCAAGACAAAGAATGTGTTAAAAGTGTGATTACTTTTATATATTGTAAATATCTTAGTATTTCATTGGACTTATTAGTCTTATACATCCACATTCTATGCCAATTTGATAAACTATCATTGTATTTTACATGAATGTGTAAAATAAAGCCAATAAATTATTATTAAACTTCCTTTTATATTCAATAAACATTCAGTAAAATATTTAAACAGAAAAAACATAGAAAGAACATATAAAGTAAAGATAAAAAATGATATATACTTGACATAATTGCATAGGCTGTGAATGACAAAGTTAGAAAAGATGAAAGATGTAAGTTCTTGTGGATATGTTCCAGACCATATGAATATTTGGACCATACGAGTATATACACATTTGGATATTAACGGGCTGGACCATACGAGTATATATTTATTTGGCAATTAACGGGCCGGACCATACAAGTATATACTCGTTTGGCAGCAGGAACACACATCTTGTTTTCTGAACTAAAATAGGCACAAGTTACTAACTGAAATCCTTTATCTTTGAAATATTGTCTGAATCTTAGTGTATCTGTTATTTTCCAATCGCTGGAGTCAATTTTAAGTGCCTTTATATTGTTGAAACTTTTCGTTTGTAAGTGAAACCACAGGCGTATGAGGCAAGAACTTTTTTTTTTCGTTTTTCCCTGGGCCCTCGGTCATAACCCTTTACTTGGTACTCAGAGTACAGATTGTGTGCTCAAAAAACCATATCCAACAATTTGATTGGTTGATTTTTTGAGTCTGAGTGTGATTATCGTGCACTACAGTTCCATGACTGCAAGGCCTGGTGTTTAGTTCTTTCAAAAAAAAATCTTCCAATTTCTACTGATTTTGCTTAATTGATGTGTTCTTTATCCAATTCATACATCTTACAATAACAGTAGTTAATATGTGCTTTCCCTCTCTTTTTATTTTCCATATAAGAATAAAGGGAGAGGAAGTATTAACTACTGTTATTGTTAGATTGTATGAATAGGAGCAAGAACACTAAATAACTTGTTATGATACAAAAAATTCAAGAAATTTTAATTTATTTAAATCAGATTTAAACATAAAAATAAAGAAAAAGAGGGTTCAATGTCGAAGTGCCTGTGAGTAAAACAGTTGACCTCTCATTTAACAGTTCATTCATATATTTGTGGAGGTTATTTTCCAAAGAGGACATTTGGTTAAGGAAAATATATAATTTTTACTTGTGAGTAAAATTCACTTTATTTCATTAATCATGTAACATTAAAATCAACTTATATTTATGATATTGAATAAGTCAAAATTTCATTTTTAGAAACTCTTAATTATTGACACCTGGAAGGTCATACCTTATGCAATTTATGGTATAAGTAACTTTTCAACATTCATAGTACTAATTACCCGGACCATACAATTATATACACATATGGTCATGACCATACGCGTATAGACCAAACACACATATGGCCCATATGGTTCAGAACAGATTCAGTGTATCAGTTTATATTTGATATACTGGTAGTTACTGCATTTGAAAAAATTATCTCTCTGCAGTTTTGTATAATTCTCACGAACGTAAAATTAAATTTAAAGAAAATAAACCTGTTTCATTCATAGCCATTAAATGAGAAGACCTTATTTTGTGTGTCGCTTCTCTTCCTTCCACAATAAATTAATCGTCATGCCTCTGTGTCCTGTAGGTACCATGCATAGTCGCATTTGTCATCATCGCTTATGATTATTCTGTTTTGGTTATTTTGGGAGGAAAACGAAAATAAAGGCGTCCGGATATTGTTTCCGTCATCGGACGGTCTTTTAAGTCATAGACAAGACTTCCGTTTAGGACTGTAAAATTACACATAATTTTCATAGGTACTTGGGGACAGGTCAATTATTTTCGCGTTGTTTTTTTATACGACCGCAAAAATTAAAAATTTTTTGGTCGTATATTGGTATGACGTTGGCGTCGTCGTCGTCGTCGTCGTCGTCGTCGTCGTCCGGCGTCGTCCGAAGACACATTGGTTTTCGCACTCTAACTTTAGTTTAAGTGAATGGATCTCCATGAAATTTTACCATAAGGTTCAATACCACGAAAGGAAGGTTGGGATTGATTTTGGGGGTTATGGTACCAACAGTTAAGGAATTAGGGGCCAAAAAGGGGCCAAAAATAAGCATTTTTGTAACTTCCAGACAATAACTTGTGTGTAAGTGTATGGATCTCTCTGACATTGTACCACAAGGTTCCATATCACAAAAGGAAAGGCTGTAATTGATTTTGGGGGTAATTGCCTCAAAATTTTAGGAATTAGGGGCCAAAAAAGGGGCCAAAAACAAGCATTTTTTTAGTTTCATGACAATAACTTGTGTGTTAGTGTTTGGATATTTCTGAAATTGTACTACAAGGTTCCATATCACAAAGGGAAAGCTGGAATTGAGTTTGGGGGTAATTGCCCGAAACGTTTAGGAATTGGGGGCCAAAAAGGGGCCAAAAATAAGCATTTTTCTAGTTTCCAGACAATAACTTGTGTTCAAGTGTATGGATCTCTCTGAAATTGTACTGCAAGGTACCATACCACAAAGGGAAGGCTGGGATTGAGTTTGGGGGTGATGAATCATAAGGGGGTTCAAAAAATTTGGGGGGGGATTTTTTTTTTTCTTTTTTTTTTTCTTTTTTTCCTTTTTTTTTTCTTTTAAAATTTTCCATTTTAAGTTGGTTATTTCTGAATAATATTTAAAAGCAAATAATAATGATATGGTAGGAGATACACACCAAACAGGATGTGTAAATTATTATCTAATAAGTATTGTGCAATAGCAAGAAATTTTCAATTGCACAGTATTGCACAATAGCAAGAAATCTTCAATTGCACAGTATTGCGCAATAGCAAGAAATCTTCAATTGCACAGTATTGCGCAATAGCAAGAAATATCCAATAGCACAATATTGCGCAATAGCAAGAAATTGTCAATTGTACAGTATTGCGCAATAGCAAGAAATATTCAATTGCACAGTATTGTGCAAAAGAAGATACTTCGTATAAATTGCTTATTTCTTGATCAATTTCAATGGGGTTTTATTCTTGAATTCTTGGGGTTCTTTAATATGCTGAATCTAACCGTGTATTAAGTTTTTGGATTTTGGGCCCCGTTTTTAAATTGGTCCACATTGAGGTCCAAAGGGTCCAAAATTTAACTTTGTTTGATTTCATCAAAAATTGAATTATTGGGGTTCTTTGATATGCTGAATCTAACCGTGTATTTAGATTCTTAATTTTTGGTTCCGTTTTCAAATTGGTCTACATTAAGGTCCAAAGGGTCCAAAATTAAACTTAGTTTGATTTTAACAAAAATTGAATTTTTAGGGTTCTTTGATATGCTGAATCTAAACATGTATTTAGATTTTTGATTATGGGCCCAGTTTTCAAGTTGGTCCAAATCGGGGTCCAAAATTAAACTTTGTTTGATTTCAACAAAAATTGAATATATGGGGTTCTTTGATATGCTGAATCTAACCATGTATTTAGATTTTTGATTTTTGGGCCCCGTTATCAACTTTGTCCACATTGAGGTCAAAAGGGTCCAAAATTTAACTTTGTTTGATTTCATCAAAAATTGAATTATTGGGGTTCTTTGATATGCCGAATCTAACCGTGTATTTAAATTCTTAATTTTTGGTTCCGTTTTCAAATTGGTCTACATTAAGGTCCAAAGGGTCCAAAATTAAACTTAGTTTGATTTTAACAAAAATTGAATTTTTAGGGTTCTTTGATATGCTGAATCTAAACATGTATTTAGATTTTTGATTATGGGCCCAGTTTTCAAGTTGGTCCAAATCGGGGTCCAAAATTAAACTTTGTTTGATTTCAACAAAAATTGAATATATGGGGTTCTTTGATATGCTGAATCTAACCATGTATTTAGATTTTTGATTTTTGGGCCCCGTTATCAACTTTGTCCACTTTGAGGTTTAAAGGGTCCAAAATTTAACTTTGTTTGATTTCATCAAAAATTGAATTATTGGGGTTCTTTGATATGCCGAATCTAACCGTGTATTTAAATTCTTAATTTTTGGTTCCGTTTTCAAATTGGTCTACATTAAGGTCCAAAGGGTCCAAAATTAAACTTAGTTTGATTTTAACAAAAATTGAATTTTTAGGGTTCTTTGATATGCTGAATCTAAACATGTATTTAGATTTTTGATTATGGGCCCAGTTTTCAAGTTGGTCCAAATCGGGGTCCAAAATTAAACTTTGTTTGATTTCATCAAAAATTGAATTCTTGGGGTTCTTTGATATGCTGAATCTAACCATGTATTTAGATTTTGGATATTGGACCATAATAGGTGAATGTCCAATTTAAAATTTTTAAGTTCTTAGACCACATTCATTCTGTGTCAGAAACCTATGCTGTGTCAAATATTTAATCACAATCCAAATTCAGAGCTGTATCAAGCTTGAATGTTGTGTCCATACTTGCCCCAACTGTTCAGGGTTCGACCTCTGCGGTCGTATCAAGCTGCGCCCTGCGGAGCATTTTATTTTACACTATGAACATACATATACTATAAATAAAGTATATTTGCTATTTACTATCAATTCCAAGCTTATATCATATAGAGAGTCTCTATATAATATGTCAGTGACCGCCGTGAATAGTAAACTTGGAGTTGATAGTAAATAGCAAATACAATTTATTTAAAGTATATGTATGTTCATAGTGTAAAAAAAAAAACGAGAAAATAATTGAAATTAATAGAAAACAAAAAAATAACAGATTTCATCCTACAACAGTTTACATACTTTCAACCACGCTCTAAATGCCTGAGATTTCGCGGGTGTTGTTCTAGTAATTATGTATTTCAGCTGTGACATGTAATGAACACCAGTTTAAATGTCTATGTATTTCAGCTGTGACATGTAATGAACACCAGTTTAAATGTCAAGACAAGTCTAGCTGTATACCTAAAGAATGGAGGTGTAACTCTATACTGGACTGTTCTGATGGTAGTGATGAAGATAATTGTAGTAAGTTAATGGTCCAGCTTACATAGCTGATAATGATGGGGAAATAATGTTATAATAGGTAGTAAGTTAATGTTCCTGCTAGCAATGCTGGTAAAAACTGAGATGTTTTAATTCTTTACTAGGTAGTTTGTTACTATTCCAGCTAACATGGCTGGTAGTAAAAGGGAATGATTCTATAATAAGTTACTTTTCCAGCCAATGAAAATAGTAATATAAGGATCATATTCTATATTTGGTAGTACTGTTCCATCTCCAAACCTGGAAACAAATTACCTTGAGTTTGTACATCTTGTATTTATATTACAGTAAATTTGCCTTGTTAATTTTGAAGGAAGATTTTCTTTCAGGTTAAAAACTCTTAATTTATACAGATTGACATTGTCAATTATAAATGATTATTTTAGATGAACAGCAAGCCTTCTGTAGTAAACATGAATTTACCTGTCTACAAACTTCTACATGTGTTCCACTGAAGATGAGATGTGATGGTAAAAACGATTGTAAGTCTGGTGAAGATGAATTACTTTGTGGTAAGTCTGTTGTTAGTTTCGTCTGTTAAAAAAGAATATGGGATAGATATGAGAAACTGTAACAATTCAAAAACTATGTAAAATGGCAAACCTACCACTCTTGGAAATGCTTTTCATCATTTATAGATCTTCTAGAACATTACTGTCTTTTCCACAACCTTAACACATATTATAGGTTAAATATAATTGGTAAATATACTATAAAGCTGGTCACACCCTAGAAGGTACATTGTTTGGAGGAATTTGAATAAGATATTAGCTAGGAATATCTTCAAATTATGGTAATATTCTTACTATTGAAATGCCTTATACTCCATAACAATAAATTTCTTACTGAATAGCTCTGCAACAGTGAAAATAAATGAGTGTTTTGGGAAGATAATATGTTTGAGTCACATTCAATACTACAGAAAATCCTGCAAATAGCTCTATAATGCTCTTATTTTGATTGATGTAAGGAGTTATTGTTACGAAAAATTTTCAAAAATAATATCAGCAGAAAATAATGTGTGAAAAGTTACGACACAATGAAGCCATGAAGGGAACTGGATTTTTTAAGACTTTGATTAAAGAGTTATCCTGGTGTATCATAACTTTTTTACTTTTTCCACAGAAGTGTCAGATAAATCTGACTGCTCAGCAGATGAGTATGTATGTGGTGATGGGTCCTGCATAGCTATGGACTGGGTCTGTGATGGAGTTACTGACTGTGCAAACCTGATGGATGAACAGAATTGTAGTAAGTTATTCAATCCTACTCACCCAATCCTCTACTTTCTTAACAGTCATTAGATTGTACTTTAGATCAAAATTCATGTTGAATTCCTTTAGGGACTGAATTTGCCGATGAAATAGTTAAACTGAAGTGTAGTCAGAACCTCAGTTTGGAGCCCACTCTTCTGTCGAATAAGATGAGTTAGAGTGTCTAGTTATACAAAAAGACTACTTGGTATTCAGATTTCCTCCTTTATAAGATCAATTGGTATGTACAGATATAAAAAAGAATCCTTCGGAAATCACATGAACAGTTGCAACCAAACTTGGATTGAATAATATTTGGTTTGTTTCTGATATAAGATTTTTTTCAGATGATCATGTTAACCAATGAAATTGAAGGAACCAGCTTTTGCCAGTCATTGAAGACAGCGGCTATGGTTCATGAAGACAGTTGATATTTTTCCTATCTTTCAGCTTTTTTGTCCTGTAATCCTAACCAGTTCAGATGTGACAATGATCATTGTATCAGCAGATCTAAAAGATGTGATGGAGTTGATGATTGTTCTGATGACAGTGATGAAAAGGGGTGTGGTAAGTTGTTAGAACATCCCACTAATGAATACTTAATCCCACCCACTCACTATATTTATTCACTAAGAATGTGTAAATGATTGATGAAAGGGAATATTGTAAATTCTATGGCAGCAAACTAAAGAAATCTTAGTCCATTTTCTTTATCCTCTTTAATTGTGGTTTTAGGGGCTGATGGTAATTTCTCGGTGCCCAATGCATAGATCTGACTGTGGCAACTGTATAATGAATTTAATTATTACATAATGGAAAATTTTGTTGAATCAAATGGCTGAAGGCAGACTGATATTTGTGCTAACTGTAGCACTGTAATTTTAGGGGTTTACAATGCAAACTATTGACTTAGTTATTTCTGCTCATGACAGTTTGTTAATCTTCAATAAAAATGGTTTGACAGAATCTAAACGAACTTGCATTGGTTCTAACAGGACATGAAGTGTGCACATTCTATTTTAATTTTTTATCTTAAAAGATTTTTGAGGTTTCTCATACTAGAAAATGGACCTAGTCATTTATACTTACATTATTTTGATAAAGCAGACAACTATTATTATTATAATTATTTGTTGTATCACTCATATATTTTGCATTACCTAGAAACCATGAATGGAGAGATACAGTGCAGTCCAGGACAGTTTAGTTGTGGCAATGAGAAATGTATCTCCTTAGAAAAGAAATGTAATACATTTGATGACTGCGGGGATTCTTCTGATGAACTGAACTGTGGTAAGTTTCATGGTAACAAGAACTTGGTAATTTGTCATGGTAACAAGAACTTGGTAATTTTCCATGGCAACAAGAATGTGATAATTTGTCATGGTATCATACAGTGTGCTAGTAATGGCTTTTCTGTAATCGGCAGATTGAATTTTTGCATAAAGACGTAATGCATGAGGTAGGGGCTGGGTTGAGAACACAAATCTTAAAGGATTTGCAATGCTTTTAGTACCTCCATCATGTCCCTTTTGGTTATTATCTTGAGTAGTTGTATATGACATAATACAGTATCATTTTTCTGTTGACTGTATGGTAGAATAATCACTCATATTTTTGTCAGGTTTATTTGCCAATATCTGCGCTTTTGATGATAAAAGATATTTATTTTGCATAAGTGATAATACACTTACATGTAAAAAGTAGAAAAAAGGCAAATAGAAAAATTGTAATGAATCATCTGTTATAAGCTTTCATTTAGGATCTCTTGTTCATGATATTTTTGTTTCTCTTCTGATTTATAAAGATTAAACATTATTATACAATACAGACAGTTTAATCTGTTTATGTTGAGAGAAGACTTGTGATCTTAATGACAGAACATGAAACACAAGATGACAGACTGATGATAGAGTTTCCATTCTATTACATAATAAGTTTTCTTATCAAAGAAAAAAGGCTACAGTGAAATGTGTTGAATAGTTTTTTTAAAGATTACACAATAATTCTTTTTTTTTATCAAAGGTCTTGATTTCAATACAAAATTTACCTACATTCATGTTCTAGTTCTTTATATCAAACAAAAACGATACAAATAGTTGTAGTCAGGTTACTGAAGAAATCGGACATAAAATTTCATGCATATTTATCCTGATCCTATTGAAAAGAAAGTACCCAAAAGGTTTCTTTTTTTGTTGTTGATGATGATGCTTTAATTGTTAGCATCATGATCCTATTGAAAATGTTCCTTTGTGCCAGGATGCTATGTGAAATTTCTGATTGAACACTAATATTAAGAAATAAATATTAGCAGATTGTTAAATGAAACAGAATCTATTACATGTTTATATGAATAAATGGTGATTTGCAGAACTAGTAAATTGGGTTACAAGTGAATTAGGAACTAGTAAATTGGGTTACAGGTGAATTAGGAACTGGTAAATTGGGTTACAGGTGAATTAGGAACTAGTAAATTGGGTTACAGGTGAATTAGGAACTAGTAAATTGGGTTACAGGTGAATTAGGAACTAGTAAATTGGGTTACAGGTGAATTAGGAACTAGTAAATTGGGTTACAGGTGAATTAGGAACTAGTAAATTGGGTTACATGTGAATTAGGAACTAGTAAATTGGGTTACAGGTGAATAAGGAACTGGTAAATTAGGTTACAGGTGAATTAGGAACTAGTAAATTGGGTTACAGGTGAATTAGGAACTAGTAATTGGGTTACAGGTGAATTAGGAACTAGTAAATTGGGTTACAGGTGAATTAGGAACTAGTAAATTGGGTTACAGGTGAATTAGGAAATAGTAAATTGGGTTACATGTGAATTAGGAACTAGTAAATTGGGTTACATGTCAAGGAGCCAGGAACACAAATACTGTGGATCTGTTTATTTTTGTGGGTTGAGAAAAAATTGTATTTTCGTGGATATTAGATTTTGTGGCTTTTGCCAAGTTTGCATATAAGTATATAGAAAAACCCATGAATTCCACAAAAATTGGTGTACTGCAAAAATAATGAATCCACAGTACAGAAATGGTCAAGGACATCTTCAGGTCATTCATGTAACGTACAGTCTTCAACAGTGTTTCTACAATAACCAATGAATGACATATTTGACTTATTTCAGGCGAGGAGGTTCTGATTTATGCCCAAGGACAGTACTTAAGGAAGATAGCACTGAGCATGCCTAACTATCCTGATGTTAAAATACCACTGAAAGGTGTGAAGAAGATCATAGCTATTGATTACAACCCAATAAGTAACATGATCTACTGGAGTGACCAGGATCTCAACACTATAAGTGCAGCTTATCTGGATGGTTCAGGTACAATAGTTATCTCCCCTTCCTGCTACTACACATCTTTTCTTACACTGTGAACAAAAATGAGAATAATTTTAACATTACTTTTTGGTGAAAAAATGGTAGCCAGTATTTCTCCTCATGAAAAGCATTTGCCTTCTACCATAGATATAAATCAAGTCATATAAGAGAATTTCTTTGGTTTCAAATATCTCTTCTGGTATATAGCCATATGTAATAGTAAAATTGTAGTCCAGTTGTAGAAGTTATATTGTTATCAAAGCCAGGGTCATTTGTTTGTTGAGAGAAACATATAACTGTATGTCCCACATGCTTAAAAAAGTTTGTTTTTTTATTATAAGTAAATGTAACTCAGAAGGAGACAAACTTTCAAAGTCTTGAAACAACAAATTGCACCTGTAAAGTTGGTCATCTACCATGTGCTTACATCAATAGTGTCCACAAAATATAAAAAAAATTCACGTTCTGTTTGATTTGAAAAATTTTATTTACAAATTGTTGCAGCCAGTTTGAATAAGTCAAAGTATAAGTATTTATAATTTTTTATAGACAAAAATTACCGTTTGAGAACAAATTTTTACTCATATTTGTATAATACCAGGACAAATATTTTCTTATCAAAGGTCAGAAAATAATATCGAGCAAAGTGAAATCATCTGATGGTATAGCAGTGGATTGGATCAACAAAGTGCTATTCTGGACAGATACAGGCTCAGATAAGATAGAACAGGCAAATCTTAATGGTACTGAACAAATTACTATCCTGTCTAAAGATCTTGATGAACCAAGGGATATTGCAGTAGACCCAGTCGAAAAGTGAGTATAGCAGACATCTGTCTTGTATAGACAACTGTCCTGCATAGACGACTGTCCTATATAGACAACTGTCCTGTTTAGATGACAGTCCTATATAAACAACTAATCTGTATAGACAACTGTCCTATATAGACAACTGTCCTGTATAGACAAGTGTCCTATATAGAAAACTTTCCTATATAGAAGACTGTCCTATACAGACAACTGTCCTACATAGACAACTGTCCTGTATAGATGACAGTCCTATATAAACAACTAATCTGTATAGACAACTGTCCTATATAGACAACTGTCCTGTATAGACAACTGTCCTATATAGAAAACTTTCCTATATAGAAGACTGTCCTTTACAGACAACTGTCCTGTATAGACAACTGTACTGTATAGACAACTGTCCTGTATAGACAACTGTCCTATATAGACAACTGTCCTATATAGAAAACTGTCCTGTATAGACGACTGTCTTGTATAGACGACTGTCCTGTATAGACCCCTGTCCTGTATAGACAACTGTTCTGTATAGACTGCTGTCCTATATAGACAACTTTCCTGTATAGATGACTGTCCTGTATAGACAACTCTGTATAGACAACTGTCCTGTATAGACAATTGTCCTGTATAGACAACTGTCCTGTATAGTATAGACAACTGTCCTGTATAGACTACTGTCCTGTATAGACAACTGCAATATTTAAGGAACACTACAGTAGACCAAGTGAGAAATAAGCATATTGAACAACTAGATTTTATTAACCAATGTCTTAAACACATTATAAATTGTCCAGTTAATACAATTTCAAGTGTCTGAGAACTGGTCGTTAATACAGGTCTAAAACAAGAAAAAACGGTCAATACAGAATTTTTAGTGGTCTTAATACAGGATTTTATCTTCCGGTTTTAGGTTCAAAAAGGTGTCAGAAAATTGATGTGTGTATTACACGAAATATTAGATTTCAACAAGTTTGATGCTAGAGTTGTTGTTATTTTTTATATGTTATACAATTTTTTTCTTTGAGAATATACAGTTATGGACTGTAAAAAGGGTGAATATCCAGAATTGTCAACCGTTAAAGATTATTTCTCTGAGGGTGCAGTCCGAAGTGAGAGAAATTTATAGGATAGAATATCTTGGAAATGCACCATTTCTAATGGGCCACATTTGTTTAATTTTACCAAAGGGCTCTTCCAATCATTGAAAATACATGTTAAAGAAGCTCTTGTATATGTCTTAACTGTAGTAACAAATTGTCAAAACACTTACGTCAGAGAATATTTTTGTCACTTAAAGTGCCTCATATGTATAAATGAAGACTCTTTCTGGAAAATATTAGTGGCCCTGAAAAGGGCCGTTTGTGAAAGGTATCCTTGGCACCAGATGGATTTCAAATACTTGTTTCTTCATCACTCCAGTCCACAGACTTCTTACCTGGACGTTGCCATTTTGTATACATCCGTCAGTGACATCATTTTGATGGGAGATAACTTGTGTAAAAATCTAGAAGCTCCCAGGGTTATTTACCGTTGAATAAAAGGGTAATTCATCGCACATTTTAAGGGTTATTTGGCATTCCTTGCATGAAAATAATAACTAACCCAAATAGTTCATATTGATCCAGTATGAGTCTTCCTACAGTCATGTGTATCGTCAGTCAGCTGGTGGTTATTTTAAGTCATTGGTTAAAGGTGTCATAAAATGGGTGTTTTCATATTAATCCTCGTACAGTCGTATTGGGTCTTGATCAGCTGTATTGGCCCTCGGATAAGCCTAGAGAGAATACAGCTAACCTCGACCCAATTCAACCTGTTTAACATAATACAGGATTAATATGAAAACACCCATTTAATAACACTATATTATTCATTTATGAAAGTACTCCAAAAGTACTTGTATTATAATAATTCACAAGGAAATGTTAATTTTATCAAGTTAAGATTTGTTTAAATTAGAAAACTTTTAAAAGTGGAATGTTAAGCCCAAAGCATTTATGATGTGAAAGTTGTTTGTAGTTTCTTGGAATTTTGGAAGTTATGAACTGTTGTTTATAGAGTCTGTTGGCTTGTATAAGTTTGATACTAACTATAGAATTGTGTTAATTTCAGATTTATATATTGGTCTGACTGGGGTCAACAACCTAAAATAGAGAGGTCAAGATATAATGGAACAGACAGACAAACTCTTATTGACAGTGAGATCCAATGGCCTAATGGACTAGCATTAGATTTGGCAGACAGGAAGATTTATTGGGGAGATGCTAAGAAACAGAGAATTGAAAGAGCTAACTTGGATAGTTCAAACAGAGAGGTTGTAATATCAACTGACATACCTCATTTGTTTGGGCTGAGTTTGCTTGGTAAGTACTGAGGTTGTCATATCAACTGACATACCTCATTTGTTTGGGCTGAGTTTGCTTGGTAAGAACTGCAGTATAAACTGTCCTTTTAGATTCCTTACAATTTTCAGATAGGCTTACTGATTAGGGAGGAGTTTCTTTGATTTTTTATTTGTCAGGTACTAATGGAATCCATAAATTCATAAGCCAATGAGTATATATTTCTTTCCAATTTTAGATTCAACTAGAACTAAAATAAAATCCCAGTATTAAAGTACATCAACAATTGTACAATCTTTACTTAAAAAGATAAGAATTAATAAACATGCAATCTAGAAAAGAAGGGAACTGGTGAATAAATTCATGAAACAAAATCCGTACACACACTTGACACTTGTATTTTGGTATTTTAGGTAACCATATTTACTGGTCAGACTGGAAGGACACATCTTTAAATAGATGTGATAAAAGGACTGGAAAGAACAAAGTCACCATACTGAAACATCATAGCAGGAATCTAGGCATGTTCATGGACGTCAAGGCTATCAAGGTCAAACTTATAAAAGGTAAGGTCAAACACATTCATAATCTTGACATGGAATCAGTCAATTTAACAATGTTTGGTTGTGGTAATACTGTAAATTCATCATTATTCGTGGGATACCAATGTTCACTGATTTCGTGGGTATAGGGAAACCACAAATTTAAATGTTTAACGAATAAAATTGAGAATGGAAATGGGGAATATGTCAAAGAGACAACAACCCAACCAAAGAGCAGATAACAGCTGAAGGCCACCAATGGAAAATCCCTCATCCGGAGGTGGTCCTCAGCTGGCCCCTAAATAAAGTTGTGTACTGGTTCAGTGAAAATGAACATCACACTAAACTCCAAAACATATAAAGGAACTAAAATTAAAAAACATACAAGACTAGCAAAGGCCAGAGGCTCCGGACTTGGGACAGGCGCAAAAATGTGGCGGGGTTAAACATGTTTTGTGAGATCTCAACCCTCCCCCTATACCTCTAGCCAATGTAGAATAAAGAAACACATAGCAATACGCACAGTAAAACTCAGTATATATTGTATATAGGCTTGTATACAAACTATTGCAAAACCATGAAATCAAATATCCACGAAAATATGTTTTTTTCTCAATCCATGAAAATTGGTAACCACGAAAATAAATGAATCTACAGTACCGGTAAATGGAAAACTGCCTTTACATCGAAGCATCTGAGCAAATTCATGGGTTAGAATTATGTCAAACTTCCCATAATCAGGGCATATTTAGGGGTGTGAGCTATCAGCATCAGACTGCCATTACACAGCAGATATCTGGTATGATCAAAGAAAAAAGATGTTAAACTACCCTAACAACACAAGCATGTATTGTCTTAAGATATTTGAATAACTTTTCTTTGAATTTCAGGAGACAGAAATAAATACTGTGGATTTGATGAGTTCCATTGTGAGAATGATCTTTGTATCGGGAACAAGAAACGATGTAATGGAAAGAATGACTGTGGGGATAATTCAGACGAGATAGACTGTGGTAAGAATGTAAAACAGGGTAATCTAGTCTCTTACGAGTATTAGACTAATAAAAATACAACAATGAAACAATGTGTACCAGTAATGTTCAAATTGTTAAATATGTTCAAAAATTGAGTGAAAAGCAGGTACATTATTTATGCAACCCAAAAGGTTGGATGAAACAGGAATATATGCACACAAAATCAATGAAAAGTTGGTATCTTACAAATGATAATGAATCCACAGATTTTTTAATTTAATACTGAAATACAAATGCGTAATCACCTAAAATATTGATTTATAGTGCACTTTATATAGTATTACCTTGTGAGCCTCATATATTATAATTGATGGAAAAAGAATATATGGAACTCTGCAAAGCCAACAAATACTGTCCTTTCTTTTGATAGATTTACCAGCAACTTGTGACAAGGAAAATGGAGGTTGTCAGCAGACGTGTCGTATATTTGGCCAGCAGGCAAGATGTGACTGTTTCCCAGGCTATTATCTACTGTCAGACATGAGAAACTGTAAAGACATAAATGAATGCAACTTTGAAGGCACATGTAGTCAGAAGTGTACAAATGTGCCAGGAACATATAAATGTTATTGTGTAGATGGATACACATTAAAGCCTGATGGCAGGGGCTGTAAAGCTGATGGTAGGTATACAGGGTGCTATCAGTTTAGATGCATGTAGGTAGACCAAGGTACCAGTTTAAATCTTTATATAGGGTTGTAACAAGTTAGATAATTAGACTAGGTCGTTAAATAATTAAACTAGGTCATTAGATATTTAGACCAGGGTACCATTTAAAACCTTTTGACAGGATTGTAACTCTTAGATGATTAGACTTGGATACAGGTTTAAACTTCTGTAAACCAACTTATTTTCGCAGATACTTATTTTTAGCGTTAAGTCCTAACCAATTTCAATAAAATACATTTTTGCAATAATCTAACGTTATTGTTGTCATATAAGGATGATCCAAGTTTGACAAATTCATGATGATTTATATTCACGTTATTTTTCTACTAAAAGTTGCAAAAAATGAATCTCTTGAAAATAAAAATGAGTTTGTTTACAGAACTACCTAGTCTGTTCTCTTTATAATGTTTCATCAGGGTTGTCAGTTAAAACCTATTGACAGGGTTGTATCTCTTTAGATCAGAGTACCATTTGAAACATTATTGTAAAGCTGTCAGTTTGGTAGACCAATGTGTTTGTTGAAATCCAGTACTGGTTATATTTAGTTGGAAGACTTAAAAAAGTAGAAGAAATGGTAACATTTATTGCAAAAAATTATTCTGATATGAGTAGACTACAGAATCATTTACAGTCAAGAATCCCAGATTCACTACAAAAAGTATGTAGACACAAGTCAAACTGCAGAAATGAAAGTACTAGAATGACATATCTTTCTTTCTATTGGACTAATGGGTGAAATGTTTCCTGATCTTTAATTGTTTGGAATGACAGTATTAAATAGAATAAGAAATAACATAACATTATAAAAGTTAAACTTATGAATTTAATTGCAGTTTATGTTATTTTTTTTAATTAATAAAAGCTTTTTAAAAATTGTATGTTTCAGGTGGGAAAGCCTATTTGATCTTTGCCAACCGTGTTGACATCAGAAGAGTCCTACCAGATAAGTCAGAGTATGATTCTATACTCCAAGGTTTACAGAATGCCATAGCGTTAGACTTCCATATAGATAAGAATTATGTGTTCTGGTCTGATGTGGCTCTAGATAAGATTAAGAGAGCTTACATTAATGGTAGTGAGATTAAAGAAGTTGTACAGTATGGCTTAGAAAGTCCTGGTAAGTTATAATCCTTGAAAGGAGAAAAATTTAATTTGTCTCAAATTTGTTGAAAACTTACTTAGAAGTTATGTTAAAGTTTTAAGATTTAGAAGTTGTTACATCATAACCAGCTGTTGATTGACCAGGATACCCGCATTGAGACAAAAACAATGTATAGAAAATGTAAGTAATAATTCCTGCACTTGCTGGAACTTGTATCTGGTTTAAAAAAAAATGACTTATGTTTATTTATAGGAGGCCTAGCTGTAGATTGGGTACATGATCTGTTGTTTTGGACTGATGCTGGAACATCTACAATAGAAGTGACAGATTTAGATGGAGTCTATCGTAAAGTGTTGATATGGGAGAACTTAGAGAAACCAAGGGCACTTGTAGCTCATCCTGGAAATAGGTCAGTAAAAATTGTATGAAATTTGAAATGCATACATATGATTGATCGATTGTTGCTTAATGTCCAGAGGCATTTCATACATATTGACATATCTAATAAACAAATTTAAAATATTTACAAGCAGTCTGTACAGTGTATGAAACAAAGTAATATTAACTGTAGAAGTGTAAATATTAAAATGTTAGGCCATACAAAAAAATATTACCATCTCAGGCCAGATAATTGTTTTTTTCTACTTGTGCACCAGATAGAACCTGACATGACACCAATGACAATGCCATCTTGGTTGCACTTTTTTATACCCCTGCCGTAGCGGAGGGGGCATTAAGTTTTACCCTTGTCCGTCTTTACGTTCGTCCATACATACGTCCCGAAATTGGTTTCTGTTCTCTAACTTTAGTTAGCCTAAACCAAATGTTATGAAACTTATACACAATGCTTATTACCACAAAACACAGATCAAGTTTGAATTTGGGTGGGGTCACTTTTACCTTTCTAGAGTTATGGCACTTTACAAATGGAAAAAAATTGCTGAATTTTTCGTTTACTTTCTCTAACTTAAGTTAGCCTGAACCAAATGTTATGAAACTTATACACAATGCTTATTACCACAAAACTCAGATCAAGTACAACTTTTGGTAGTGTCACCTTTACGGTTCATAAGTTATGTCCCTTTATAAGGTTATATATGCAAGCGAATTCATCATCTGTGTCTCATGGACACATTCCCTATTTTTTTCAATATAGTTCTAAATTATTAAGTAAACATATCAATATCAATGTTAATTATTGTATTTTCAGATCAATATTTTGGACAGATTGGGGAACTACACCTAAGATAGAGAGTAGCTGTATGGATGGTAGTTATAGGAATGTTATTGCTAACACATCACTGTTCTGGCCTAATGGTCTAACTATAGATTATACCACAGACAAACTGTACTGGGCTGATGCTAAACATCATGTCATAGAATGTGCTGATTTAGATGGTTCTAATAGGAGAACCGTTCTAAATAAAGGTGAGAATTTATTGATAACAAGAGAACTGTACTAAATAAAGGTAAGAAATTATAGATAACAAGAGGACTGTACTTAATAAGGGTAAGAATTTATAGATTACATGAGAGAACTGTCCTTTATAAAGGTAAAAAATTATAGATAACAAGAGGAATGTACTTTTAAGAGGTAAGAAAGTGCTGAGGACTGATGTTGCTGGCTGTAATAAGGGGACTGCTGTAACCTGGCCTTGACCTTATTTTATTGGTTCAGAAATAAATGTTCAAGAAGTTTTTATACGATTGCAAACATTTTTTTTATCAAGCTTGAATGTAGTGTCCATACTTGCCCCAACTGTTCAGGATTCAACCTCTGCGGTTGTATCAAGCTGTGCCCTGCAGTGCATTTTGGTCAGATTCTCAGGTACTAAGAGTAATATATGGTCTATATTAAGTGTATAAGAATTCATGTAAAATGTACATATTCATCTGGTCAAGTGTCACTTTACCTTTACCCCATTTTTAAGGTTCATGGAACAATGTTTATTTTGGTATTGTGCTTAGGTCTGATTCTCAAGTACTGTGAAAAATAAGTTCTTCTTGGAATCACTTGGATCTTTGAGCATTGAACAATGTCAATTTTACCGGAATTTAAGACCTTTATCTCAAAAACTATCAAAACTATTTAGTTAAAACAATTTAACTAAATTAGATATGTCACTGTATCCATTTGGTCATTTTGTTATTGAGCACTTCACTATCTTTATATTAATTACAAATAAAATATGTTATCATTTGGTCATTTTGTTATTGACCACTTCACTATCTTTATATTAATTACAAATAAAATATCATTTGGCCTCCTTCAGTTTAAAAATGTCCTACTCATCCTAGATATCACATTGATCTAATTGAAGTTGACCATACACTTTTTGTGCATATATATCTGACACACACTGACATCTTTCAAGATACATTATTTATGTTTTTAGTCCCCTACCGACGATCTGATAATTTTGTGCAGAGTTATGGTCCTTGGACTTGAAAAATTCACTCATATAATCAGTTTTCCACACTGTTTTTAGTCATGCTTGAAGATATTGACTTGATATTTTCTTTTTGTTTACATCATGACAAGTTATAGAACAAGTTAGCATTTTGTTCCAGTATAATGAATTTTTACCCGGTAGGGGACTATGTATTGCCATGCAATACTCTCAGAATGCTTGTTATTATCTTATTTTCAGGATTGCCACATCCTTTTGCCTTGACCTTGTTTGAAGATGAACTTTATTGGACAGACTGGAATACAAAGAGTATAAACAAAGCCAACAAGTTTACTGGGAATGATGTAGAGACTGTACATAACAGGCTTCATTATCCCATGGATATACATACGTTCCATCCGCAGAGGCAGCCAACAAGTAATTTCCTTATTTTAAGGATATAAGTCAATAAACTGAAAGGGAAGGGATAATTTAGTCCAAGCTAAGAATTTTATTGTGATTTCATCGTAGACTTAGTGATTGTTTCATGTTTAAGGTGGTACCCAACACCTTGACTAATATTAATTTGGCTCGTTTAATTTTCATAAAATTTTGACAAAATGTTAACTTTGACCCTTTGACAAAAATATAAAAATTTCAAAAAATTTGAACCAACCACTTTATCAGAAAAATTTCATTGGTTATATAGCAGTTTGACAAACACTAATTTTGATCATTGAGAAGCTTAATATTTCCTTAACAATACAACGTAATTAAAACGTTTAGCTGATTTTTACAGAGTTATCTCCCTGTAGTGTTAGGTACCACCTTAACAAGTTGTAGTTTATTGTAGCAATGATAATGGTTTTAGACAGTAATGTTATATTAGTGATTTCTACATGAAGTATTGGATTTTTTTGATTTCATAAAAGATAAAAATGCAAGTTTAAAAACTGATTTTTTTCTTACTGTTTTTTAATTCAAATAGATAGCTATAACATTATTAAAACAAAAGTATCTTTCAGTGAAGAATGTCTGTGGTAAAAACAATGGAGGATGCAGCCATTTTTGTTTGCCAAATTGGCATGGTTACAGCTGTGCTTGTCTAACAGGACAACATCTGAAGAAGGATAACAAAACATGTGTTGAGAGTATGAATCGTTTTGTGGTGTTTTCAACCATGTCCGATCTGAGACGTATCAGTGTAGATACACCTGACAGAACAGATGTGGTTCTTCCCCTTAATAAAGTGCTGAGTGCTGTGGGGATTGATTTTGATGCAAAGAATGATATGATATATTGGACTGATACAGACCTGAATGTCATCAAAAGAGCACATTGGAATGGCAGTCATGAGAAGGTAAAGTCATAATTGTAAATTAAGAAATGTGCATTTATTATTGGGATTGTTCAACAATAAAGAAAGATGCAAGAATAATTGATGCTATTTTAGTTAATGCTGCATAAAAATAATGTAATCAAAATTTAAGAAGTGACTTTTTATACGACCGCAAAAAAATTTTTGTGGTCGTATATTGGTATGACGTTGGCGTTGGCGTCGTCGTCGTCCGAAGACACATTAGTTTTCGCACTCTAACTTTAGTTTAAGTGAATGGATCTCAATGAAATTTTACTATAAGGTTCAATACCACAAAAGGAAGGTGGGGATTGATTTTGGGGGTTATGGTACCCACAGTTAAGGAATTAGGGGCCAAAAAGGGGCCAAAAATAAGCATTTATGTAAGTGTATGGATCTCTCTGACATTGTACCACAAGGTTCCATATCACAAAGGGAATGCTGGGATTGATTTTGGGGGTAATTGCCTCCAAATTTTAGGAATTAGGGGCAAAAAACACCCATTTTTTCTAGTTTCATGACAATAACTTGTGTGTAAGTGTATGGATCTTTATGAAATTGTACTACAAGGTTCCATATCACAAAGGGGAAGCTGGAATTGAGTTTGGGGGTAATTGCCCAAAAAGTTTAGGAATAAGGGGCCAAAAAGAGGCCAAAAATAAGCATTTTTCTAGTTTCCAGACAATAACTTGTGTTCAAATGTATGGATCTCTCTAAAATTGTACTGCAAGGTACCATACCACAAAGGGAAGGCTGGGATTGATTTTGGGGGTAATTCCCTCAAAATTTTAGTAATAAGGGGCCATAAAAGGGCAAAAAAACAAGCATTTTTCTAGTTTCAGGACAATAACTTGTGTGTAAGTGTATGGATCTTTATGAAATTGTACTGCAAGGTTCCATATCACAAAGGGAAAGCTGGGTTTAAGTTTGGGGATAATTGCCCTAAACATTTAGGAATTTGGGGCCAAAAAACAAGCATTTTTCTAGTTTCCAGACAATAACTTGTGTTCAAGTGTATGGATCTCTCTGAAATTGTACTGCAAGGTACCATACCACAAAGGGAAAGCTGGGATTGAGTTTGGGGTGATGAATCATAAGGGGGTTCAAAAAATTTGGGGGGGGGGGGGTTTCCTTTTTTTCTTTAAAATTTCCCATTTTAAATTGGTTATTTCTGATTTATATATAAAAGCAAATAATAATGATATGGTTTGAATAGGTAAATTAAAAATTTCTAAGTTCTTAGACCACTTTCATTCTGTGTGAGAAACCTATGCTGTGTCAAATATTTAATTACAATCCTAATTCAGTGCTGTATCAAGCTTGAATGTTGTGTCCATACTTGCCCCAACTGTTCAGGGTTCGACCTCTGCGGTCGTATCAAGCTGCGCCCCAGTGGAGCATTTTATTATTTTTGCAACACCTTTCTGATCGCAATTTTTGGATTAATAAAAAAATTGTTAAATTTCTGAGTTTACAGTATATAGATTATCAAATTCACAAAGCATGATAGATTTGTGATTAACTTATTGACATGTACTTAAATACTTCACTGACAAATTGGTACCAACCAGATTATTTCTCTTACATGAATTTATATTGGATTGTAATTCCATTTTACAGGTTGTCATTGGAAACCAGGTGGAGTCTCCAGTAGGTGTGGCTATAGACTGGATTGGTCGTAAGATTTATTGGACAGACCAGGATACAGATTTTATAGAAGTAGCCAATCTGAATGGTAGTATGAGGAGTATCCTGATCTCTACAAGTCTAGATAAACCTAGAGACATCATTGTAGATCCTTTGGAAGGGTAATTCATCTTTTTTTTTTAAATTATTGATTCCCTCTTTTAGTTGTACATATATGTACATATTATTACTTAATTATATGTAGACTTTCAAAGTTTTATACAAGTTCATCACTGCTGTATTTTAAGGTTTAAAGCACTGCTTAATTTGATTATTGTGACATTTTGTTAAAGTTTCTTTAATATTTCTGTGTTATATTTCTGTAGGTTTATGTACTGGAGTGATTGGGGAAGCAGACCTAAGATAGAAAGAGCAGGAATGGATGGGAATAGAAGACAGGTTCTAATCAGTAACAATATCACATGGCCCAATGGTCTAGCCCTGGACAAAAAACTTAAACGTCTTTATTGGACAGACGGAGGAAGGAGTGTTATAGAATCTGTCAATTTGGATGGTACAGACAGACAGGTAAGGAGGTTGACTTTCCGCTGTTAAATAATTTGCCCAAATTGGCAAAATGTCTCCTTTAAACAAATTGATGTTGGCAAGAGTTCAGATCAACCAATTTAAAATTCAGAAAACCACAGCTTAGATTTTGTTTCAAAATTAAGCAAGATACCCTTAGCTTTACTACAGAAAGTTCGCTTTAATCCTTGAAAATACAAATACATATGCTTTCACTTTCAGATTATAATATCTGTGAATGTTCCTCGACCATTTGGCATTGCTTTGTTTGAAAATACGATCTACTGGACGGACAAGTTAAACAAGGGAGTTTACTCTGCAAACAAGTATAATGGATCAGGACGTGAAGTAATCGCCTCACAGCTTGATAATGTGATGGACATCAAAATGTTTTATAAACCACAACCAAGGGGTAACTATCAAAATATACATCAATAAGCCTCAGCCTAGGGGTAAATATCAAAATACACTTATAAACCACAGCCTAGAGGTAACTATCAAAATATACATCAGTAAATCACAGCCTAGAGATAAATATCAAAATACACTTATAAACCACAGCCTAGAGGTAAATATCAAAATACACTTATAAACCACAGCCTAGAGGTAACTATCAAAATACACACCAATAAACCACAGCCTAGAGGTAAATATCAAAATATACACCAATGAACCACAACCTAGAGGTAAATATCAAAATATATGCCAATAAACCACAGTCTAGAGGTTAATATCAAAATATACACCAATAAACCACAGTCTAGAGGTTAATATCAAAATATACACCAATAAACCACAGTCTAGAGGTTAATATCAAAATATACACCAATAAACCACAACCTAGAGGTAAATATCAAAATATACACCAATAAACCAAAACCTAGAGGTAAATATCAAAATATACACCAATAAACCACAGTCTAGAGGTTAATATCAAAATATACACTTAGTATAGTCATACTGTTAAGCTTTTAAGCTGTAGAATTTTCTTATTTATTATGAACTATGAGAAGTTCTGAGGTTCTTACTACTGTATGGTCTCAATGGGTGTAACCTGATAAAATTATATAAATCAAAGGAAATACTGGGTAAATATAAGTCAGTAAAATTATCATTTGTCTTCAAATATTCAGGGTATGATGGCAATAATTTTTTACCGTACAGCTCTTTTACATAAAAATTCAAAAGACAATAGTTATGGAGAAATGTTTTTAATGTCTTCTTCGAGAACATTTGTTCAATATGTTTTATCATTGTTTCAGGTAAGAATCCATGTGCTAATGACAATGGTGGCTGTAGTCATTTATGTTTGATATCAACAACAGGATACACATGTGTCTGTCCTACAGGGATACTAATGTCACCAGATGGGAAGACTTGTAATAAAGGTAGGTTAATATCAACAACAGGATACACATGTGTCTCTCCTACAAGGATACTAATGTCACCAGATGGGAAGACTTGTAATAAAGGTAGGTTAATATCAACAACAGGATACACATGTGTCTGTCCTACAGGGTTCTAATGTCACCAGATGGGAAGACTTGTAATAAAGGTAGGTTAATATCAACAACAGGATACACATGAGTCTGTCCTACAGGGTTCTAATGTCACCATATGGGAAGACTTGTAATAAAGGTAGGTTAATATCAACAACAGGATACACATGTGTCTGTCCTACAGGGTTCTAATGTCACCAGATGGGAAGACTTGTAATAAAGGTAGAATAATATCAACAATAGGATACACATGTGTCTATCCTACAAGGATACTAATGTCACTGGATGGGATGACTTGTAATAAAGTTAGGTATTGATGGGTGTAATTGTCTTCATGGTCCGTTTTGGGGGGTTCAAAAGCTGTCATTCAGCATTTTATCATATTTAAGTGGAATTAAAAGCAGGCATAGCAAACAATGGCAAAGCCTTTAGTTCTGTAGTGTTCTTACTTTTCACTAATATATGTGCTATGAAAATGAATGAAGAATAGCTGAAATTGTATGCTTAAACAAAAAAGTGATGTATGCCACCTCAATTTATTAAATGTTAAGTTTGACAAACAAAGAATGTAAATAGCAGGTGTAATTTAATATTTTAGCAAATGTGTTGTTCAGAACATAGTGAAAATTTGAATGAAAAGCGATATGGGGTAAAATGAGACATCATCACAACAACTCAAGTCCAAGAAAAATTTACATCTACAATGTATATGATGAGGTATCTTCATCAGAGTCCAGCTACAAATGGCCTGAAGTGTAGACAACTTGTGATAGATTCAAAATAGACAATCAAAAATCTGATATCAAACCCTAATTTTAAAAAGACAGAAAAGACATGAGAAAAATTGACATGTCATTATTTAATATGATTCTTTATGTTTTAAAATATATTGTTCTACATGTTTCTTTTGTTGACAAGGTTCTTTTTGAAATATAGATCGCTAATCAACAGAGGGTAATCAACATTTCTATTTACAGATATGAGTAATTTTATTGTGTTTGCCAGGAGAACAGATATCAGAAAGATATCATTAGATGTTAATTATATCGCTGATGTAGTGATACCTCTCGGTGAAATCAGAAATGCTATTGCTATAGGTGTAGATAGAGTTGCAGGTAAATGTGGTCTTTTCTACCTTTTGAGGAATCTTTTTATACTCCCTACTTGTAAATTTCAAATAGTAAGACAACAGTACATCTTCATTAAAAAATTCTAAAAAAAAATGGCTACTTAAGTAGCAGATATTTATGTGCACTAATTTATTAAGACCGTATAATTTTGACTGACTTTATTTGAAATTTACAAGAAGGATGCATAAAAAGAGCCATTATTTGTTCCTTGAATTTGTTAAAATGGTAAAACTCTAAATTTCTTTCAAAACTGTGATTCATTTACTGATAAACAAATAGAATGAACATGATATAGACTGGTCACTTTAGTTCAGAAATGTCATCTGTGATGTCATAAACATTTTAGTTTAACATATTTGACCTAAAATGCCAATTATAGATTTGGTAGTATTAAATATGAGCAACAGCCTTATCCAATGGTAAGTCAATGATATTTGGTATGTAGTTGTATTAGCATTTGCACATGTCATTCTTTGGAGATTATTTGGCCCTGCACATTTAGCCTTGGTTTATTGACTTTGAATGTTTTGCAAAGTATACATGTTAAAGTATTGCCATTAAATTTCATCATTTGCATTATACTGTAACATCGAAATTACATACAGGTGAGACATATCTCTGTGTCAACTGTTTATACTAAAATTTCATAAATTTTTAGAAATATTTTTTTGTGCTAGTGTTGACTCAACAGTTTATATTTTTTTCCAAGCTGGTCTGAAAGCAAAAGTTTACCTGTACAGTAAGGCTCGCCTGAATATATGGGTTACCAAATTCAATTAATTAAACTTCATGCTTACCAGTATGATTGTTTTAACTTTCAGGGAAGCTATATTGGACAGATACAATTCTAGATGTGATAATGAAAGCTAATTTAGATGGATCTCAGGTGGAGCAATTTATAAAACATGGACTGGACACACCGGATGGACTGGCAGTAGATGAGATTGGTCGGAAGATTTACTGGACAGATACTGGATTAAACCGCATTGAAGTGGCTGACTTGGTTACTGGGATGAGAAAAGTGTTGATTTGGGATAACCTAGATAAACCTAGAGATTTAACTTTGTATTATGAGAAGGGGTAAGAAAAGATAACATAATAAAATACAGGAAATATATAATTTACACAAGGTCTTTAATCCCATTTTTTGCGTGTTAGTTTTCTGTTAAATTTCATAACAATTTAGATATTTAAAGTATTGCATTATATGAAAATAAGTTAGGTTTAAAAATCCCTATGATTCCTACTAAAAAGATGATTTTAGTCATAACATCAATGTTTCAAAAGTTCTGTAATTATTTTGACAGGTACATGTATTGGACAGATTGGGGTAAACTACCTAAGATTCAGAGGGCTGATATGGATGGTAGTAATAGGACAGTATTAGTTGACAAAAACCTAGGCTGGCCTAACGGAATTGTCATTGACAAGCAATCCCAGAGAATTGTATGGGCTGATGCTAAAATGGAAGTGATAGAGTCATCAGATTTAAATGGTGGTAATCGTCGTGTCATCATCTCTAATGTCAATCATCCCTATGGACTGACCATTACTGAGAGACATATATACTGGACAGACTGGCAGAAAATGGCAATATTTAAAGCAGACAAGGATACTGGAAGTAATTTATTAGTCATAAGGAGAACATTACCTGGACTGATGGATCTACAGGCTGTTATCAGGTCACCAGATGGTTAGTCAATTGTTACTAAAGTTATAGTAAATTACTGCTAAAAGTCAATTCAATTGACATGCATAGATGTGACAAATCTAGAATGACAATCAGGAGTCCGAGTCATTTTGATCTGGCATTTTGACTTTATTAAAGTTGTTTTTATTGACATATTTTTTCACCTGTTTAACTTCATGTGCAAGGCATAAATTGACACTTTTTTGTATGTTTTCTAGTCTCTTGCTAGATTTTCGTAACAGAAGTGTAGTTGTTGCTAAAAAAACATTTTAATGCAATGTTCTTAATTTTAAGGACACAATTTAGCTTTTGCATTGTTTAATATGTCCATAAAGCCCATGAAAAGGATTTTTTTAAAACTAAATAAGCAATATTTTATTAAAGTACACAGGTGCTTAATGGTTTGATTCTGAAAAATTTTCGAAACTCTCAAGTATATTTGATTTTAGTGCAAATTTGAGGCCAAAATTGTACAAGTGTTCATTTCCACATATACCTACATGATGAAACAAAAAAGTTAAATATTCAATATCACTACAATCCAGGAACACAATCAATTTGTAGCATCAATCTTAATAATTGTTTATTTATTTCATACAGATGACCTTCACAAACTAGAGAACAAATGTGAGAATAATGGAGGCTGCAGTCATCTCTGTTTACCAAATCATAGTGGAATCACATGTTCATGTCCTACTGGATTACAGCTCAAACACAACGGAAAAACTTGCTTAACATGTGAGTAGGGTACCAGTCATGATTGAATTACATGTAAATATCTTACTAGCTAACATGTGACAGATGATGGCAAAATTTTCTTTACCATTTTATAAAAGTCACATACTTTGTTTTAGCCACCTCTATTTGCACAGTCGCATCTAAATCTATGTGTCTTTTCTTACTGTTTTACACTTCAAGGACAATAGAAATAGCTGAACTAGTACTATATATGCCTCTATCACATCAATTGGCATATCACATGAACATGTTCTCATGGTTTACAGCTTAACCTCAATAGAAAAGGTTGTTTGACATGCAAGAAAGACTCCAGTGTATATTGGAATCACTGAATTCAGAATTTCTACAATGAAAATGAAATCAGCCTATGCTGCCTTCTCTGGAAAAAAATGTTGAATTATTAGAACTGATCATATATAAGTGGATTTATTTATTTTCGTGGGTACCAGTTTTCGTGGATTAGGGAAAATTGGCATGTTCGTGGATATTTAATTTCATGGTTTTACCGAAAGTCTGCGTACAAGCCTATACAAAATATGTCATTTGTTGAACATTTTATTTCGTGGTTCACTTGTACACACGAAATCCATGAAAATTGGTATCCAACGAATAATAATGAATCCACAGTATTTAAATATTTACTTTTTTAGATAGAAATTTCTTTTATTACTTTGCATAGGTGTTAGACTTGACATGCCAGAAGGATGACAATCAATTTTAGAATTTTTTTTTTATCCTAGACATGACTTGATTATGCGAGTGATATTGATCTGTGATATATCTTCTTTGAACTGTTTCAGTGCCAAGCAAGTACCTGTTGTTTGCCAGTAGAGGCAGTTTAAGGAGAATCTCATTGGATACTCCTGATTATACAGATACATTTCTTCCCATGTCTGACCTCCATAATGTTATATCACTTGACTATGACTACCAGAAACAGAAGATGTACTTTACTGATGTTCATTTAGATGTTGTCAGGTAGTTATCTCCCTTTTTGTAACCACTCATTCCTTAGTTACATTTAATCAGCAATAAGGCATTAGAATGTTACCATAGCAATTTTTTGATGAACTATACTGATGTTTATCAAGTAAAAGATTCTGCCTATTTGTTAATCCTCAATTGTCATGTTTTCTGTAAAATTTATTTGACAATTATGTTTACAATCAAAGAATTTTACATTAGTTTGATTTTCATGTGTTACAGAAGAAATAATTAACAATACAAAAAGATTGATTTAAAAATTCTGATGGATATGGTAATGTTTGTTTTATTTTGACAGGTTGTTTTAGATAATAATTTAGATGATTGTACTTTAAGGGAGTCTTGAAAGTAATTGTGGACAAGTTAAGGATAAGGGGTTGATTTTAATGTTTCTTTAGCTAATTTAGATGGTACATGTTTACAGACTGTAGTTTAGGAGAATCTTGAAAGTATTGATTGATAAGGTTAGGGTTAGGGATTTTTTTTGTATTTGATATTTCTTTGTTACAGAAGAGCTAATTTAGATGGTACAGGTTTGCAGTCTGTAGTATCAGAGAATCTAGAGACAACCGATGGACTTGCTGTAGACTGGATTGCTAATAATTTGTTCTGGACAGATACAGGTATATCTCCAATGATAACAATAGTTATTGCAGTAAGACTAGTTTTGTACATGAAATATGCATTAGGTCCATTTGTTGTAAGGAAAATAATGAACAAATACAAATATTTTGCTAAAATAAACCTGAGGTATGAATTTAAAAAGAAGATACATGTATGTGGTAAATGAAAATAAGACTGATACCTAACAACAATAAGTTGTCTTCAATGATGGACAAGTTACACCGGAATATGTAGGTCATTGCCCAGGCTACCAGGTTGTCAGTTTGCACTTTTAAATATTACTATAGTTACAAGGAGAATATAGTCTTCAATAACTTGTATTATGACATGTTTTCTTATCTTCAGGTCGTGATGTTATAGAAGTATCATCCACTGATGGGACAAACAGAAAATCTCTGATCACAGAAGATTTAGATGAACCAAGAGCTATAGCTTTGTATCCCCAGAAAGGGTAAGTACAAATGTATTGTTAATAATATAGGAGTTTCCATAGGACAGTTAACAGAATGGGTGAAGAGGGATGTCAGAAAGGGAAGTTGATATTGTAAGAAACTTAACAGGATGGATCAAGAATTTAGTATGTAGTTATAATGATATAGGACTGTTAATAGACAGATCCATGGCCTATGGAAGGCTGAGAATTGTTTATGATATGTGACTAGACATACTCCAACCATGGAAATTGATGCAAATAAAAATAAACAAATCTACAGTATCATTATTTTACAGCTTACTGAAGGAAATATGATGAACTTGCAAAGAATAAATGTAAATTCAGAAATTATTGCGTAGTTTTTATTAATGCGAAAGGGTGATTTTCGTAATAATAAGAACTCGCTTTCTGATATCTGATGCAAATATATGTATGCAAATTTTCCTGAAATCGCAATAATTAATCTCGCATTATTGTCCATTGTTCAAAAATCGCAATAATAAATGCACGCAATATTTTCCGAATTTACAGTATATGTTTTCAGGTCCTAACTGTATTTTTGAACAGGGTTTATTGCAGACATTTTTATTCGGGTTTTAACTTTTAGATTTTACCAAAATGAATTATTTGTTATCATTCTAGCACAGAATTGATTGTTTGTTGATAATCACAGTTGTATTGATTTTTTTCAGATTGTTATATTGGACAGACTGGGGATCACCACCTAAAATAGAAAAAGCATACATGGATGGTAGCAATAGGAAAATTATTATCAAAACAGATTTAGGTAAGTCTTCTCTACTGCCACTAACATTGTTACAATGGAGTCTAATTGACAAAACTGTCAGCTTCTTTTTTTTCAAGGAAAAAAAAACTTCAGAAGAACCACAGTCTAAAATGGTCAAATATAGCTATATTTGAACGATTAAGTCTTGATATTCCATGCTGATAAATCATAGAATTGAAAAAATAATATAGTAAAATTTCCACATCATACTTGTTCTTTATAAAAAAGAGAGATGCTCAATAAAACAATTAGAACTTTTGTTATGATACTTTATCATGTGATATTTACTTGTCATGTCATCTTTTGTTATGATACTTTATCTTGTGATATTTACTTGTCATGTAATCTTTTGTTATGATACTTTATCATGTGATATTTACTTGTCATGTAATCTTTTGTTATGATACTTTATCATGTGATATTTACTTGTCATGTAATCTTTTGTTATGATACTTTATCATGTGATATTTACTTGTCATGTAATCTTTTGTTATGATACTTTATCATGTGATATTTACTTGTCATGTAATCTTTTGTTATGATACTTTATCATGTGATATTTACTTGTCATGTAATCTTTTGTTATGATACTTTATCATGTGATATTTACTTGTCATGTAATCTTTTGTTATGATACTTTATCATGTGATATTTACTTGTCATGTAATCTTTTGTTATGATACTTTATCATGTGATATTTACTTGTCATGTAATCTTTTGTTATGATACTTTATCATGTGATATTTACTTGTCATGTAATCTTCATTAATTGCTTTGCACTGTTTTAATTATGCTTTTTCACATTTACTTAAGCAAAACACTAAACGTGTATCTGATTTACCTAGTTGAATTTTGGCAAATGTTTACAAAGTGCTTCAATTTATTCTTCAGGTTTTCCCAATGGATTATCAGTAGATTTTAAGGCAAAGAGATTATATTGGGTTGATGCCAGATTAGATAAGATAGAAACTTCAGATCTGATGGGACAGAATCGTGTTACATTGATTAGTAATGTCCCACATCCATTTGGTCTGACTGTGGTAAGTATTAGATACACACATGAATCGATCTAAATTTGAATTGATCTAAATAAAACAAGTTAGCGTTCACATTATCTTTAATCCTAACGAACTCTATCGGTGTAATCTGACCCACTGCGTTCACACTACAAGTAAAAATGCAATAGATCTGACCTAATTACCCAGGAAATTGTAAACACTGTGTATAAATAGAAATATTTAATCAAATTAATGTGTTGATACACACGCTTGCAAAAAAATAATGGTGAAGGAATTGTTTCACTTGAATTACAAGTTCAAATGTTGATACTGCTGTTTGTATAGTTTTCGTTAATTTTCAGCCCTTTTTATGTTGGTCATCCATTTTGTAATAAATTGCATGTGTAATTTTTCCACCATACATGCGCACAAATTATTTCCGATTCAATCGTACTAGTTTAGATTGATCTCTGCGTTCACATTTAAAGTTAGATCGGTTCACTTTAAATCAATTCAAACTAAACTACCTCTTTTGGTGTTTTAGTTTAGACCGACCGATTTAAGATTGATTCAAAGCTTTCACATTGGGCTTAAATCGATCTAAATGTCCAAATGTGAACAGGGTCTAAAAAATTTTAAGGAAATGACATCATCCATGGCAGGTAATTTTCCCATATTAATATCGAAATAATTAATATAAATTAATAAAACATCTTCCATGGTATTAACAGTATGTTCAAACATTTTGCTTAAACAAAGTTTTGACATGGAATATTTGCTATATTACAGTATGGTCCTCATATCTACTGGACTGACTGGCAGTCAGAGAAAATAGAAAGAGCAGATAAAAATTCAGGAAAAGATCGTGCAGTCATACAGAGACATCTAGAAGGATTGATGGACATAGTAGTGGTGGCAAAAGATAGACAGTCTGGTGAGTAATATTTTCATTCATTTGAAAAGTATTTTACTCACAAGGCACTTTACTCACAGGGTTATATAATTTCATTTTATATGTAAAACCAAGTCCAAACATGTTTTCTTTTCTATTAATCTTGGTATCAATATATCTTAAGTTCAGATAATCAAATTGAAACATGCCTTCTGCTGGGTATAAAATTTTGGTATTAATTCATTTTGATACCATCATTGATATGCATATCTTTGTTGTATACAGTGATATTAAATAACACATGATTATCTAACTTTTTACAGGAACAAACTGGTGCAGTACAGGAAATGGTGGTTGTAGTCATCTTTGTCTTGCCAGACCCCGGGGAAGATCATGTGCCTGTCCTGATAAAACTACACAAGAACCTTGTTACACATGTAAGTTTTGGGACAGAACCTTGTTATACATGTAAGTTTTGGGACAGAACCTTGTTATACATGTAAGTTTTGGGACAGAACCTTGTTATACATGTAAGTTTTGGGACAAGAACCTTGTTATACATGTAAGTTTTGGGACAGAACCTTGTTATACATGTAAGTTTTGGGACAGAACCTTGTTATACATGTAAGTTTTGGGACGGAACCTTGTTATACATGTAAGTTTTGGGACAAGAACCTTGTTATACATGTAAGTTTTGGGACAGAACCTTGTTATACATGTAAGTTTTGGGACAGAACCTTGTTATACATGTAAGTTTTGGGACGGAACCTTGTTATACATGTAAGTTTTGGGACAGAACCTTGTTACACATGTAAGTTTTGGGACAGAACCTTGTTATACATGTAAGTTTTGGGACAGAACCTTGTTATACATGTAAGTTTTGGGACAGAACCTTGTTATACATGTAAGTTTTGGGACAAGAACCTTGTTATACATGTAAGTTTTGGGACAGAACCTTGTTATACATGTAAGTTTTGGGACGGAACCTTGTTATACATGTAAGTTTTGGGACAGAAATTTGATGAACATATACATATCTCCTTTAAAATGTTTTATTTATTTTTGTTTTGATTGAAGTAGTAGATCTATTATAGACTCTAAAATGAAAAAAAAACTATTTCTGCTCATCAGTAGACATGTATTTTGTCTTGATGGCTGCTTAACAGATGTCCAATAACTTTATATTTTATATTGTAGATCCAGTCACAGATTCTGGAATGGAGAACCAGATCCCTGGATATAATGCTGCTGATGCTGATGAGTAAGTTTTATTGTTTTTATGCCCTTTCTGTGTTAATTAGCATGGTAACAAGTTTTATCTTTTTTAATAGAAAAACAAAGGATATGGGGTATCCATCCATGACACAACATCAGTAATTGCACAACAGAAACACACACAAAAAGCAAAGGAACAGTGCTTTTATTGCTGTTCTTCATCTCTAAGTCACAGTGAGACCTCAACACGGAGCAAAAAAACTCTCACCTCACTGCAAGTTTAAGACGGCCCCTAGCATCGGCTTTAGTGGAATTCTTTGCAAAAATAATTTGGATAAACTTTGTAAGATGTAACACCACCTAATCTGTTTGTTTGTGCATACTCCATGGTTGTCGTTTGTTGGTGTGGTTCATAAGTGTTTCTTGTTTCTCGTTTTTTATATAGATAAGACCGTTGGTTTTCCTGTTTGAATTGTTTTACACTAGTCATTTTGGGGCCCATTATAGCTTGCTCCATGTTGAAGGCCGTACTTTGACCTATAATTGTTTACTTTTTACTCATCGTGACTTGGATGGAGAGTTGTCTCATTGGAACTCATACCACATCTTCTTATTTATATCCTAGAATTGAGTAAGTTTTGCAATGAGATTTATTTCTCTGAAACCAATGGGGAAATTTTACAACTACAGTCCTTTTTGTAAAGTTCAGGGTTGCTAAGCAATATTTAAGTCACCATGACCTACATTTTTGGTTGTGTGCATTTGTTCTGATTTTTCAGAAATCAAAGGTTCTATGTCAATGGAATTTCATTATACAATGCAATTTTATTCAGTTTGGGTCATTAAAATTTGGACCAACTTTTTAACACAAGTGAATTCAGTTGCATTCAAACATCTGGACCTGCATTTCACAAAGTATGGACTTTGGTTAAGCCTATGTTTTGGTCCATTTCTCAGAAATCTGCAGTATTATTTTAATTACATTTCACGGTTCAGTTTTGAATTTTAAATTAATTTCTCTGAAACCTTTTTAATTTATTAAATGATATTTCATCACCTGTTTTCTACCTTTTTGGTTGAGTTTTATTTTGTTATGTAAGTTTCAACTGATGGAACCTAGGTAAATGAGTATGGTACTTCCAAATTATGGATATTGAAAATTTATGCAGATTTGATATTTTAAACATAAGGTGCTTATCACAGGTGCACAGATGAAGATGAGAAAGATGGAATTTGTGAGAAGCCAAAGAATGTTCCCCAAGCAGGTAAATATCAGAGTTTTATGTAAGGGGGGGGATTAGTAGTTTTTCTAAATTCTAATCTAAATGTCATTATGTTGATTGGGTGATACAGTGACATCTGCAAATGTTTTTTTTTATATATATATAATTACAATAAAAAGCATAATGTCAGTATATGTTTTCAGTTATTTTGATAATAACATATATAATTACAAATTTACAAACATTGAAAGCATAACATTTACTCTAGTTAAAAAACAATAACGAAAAAACAACTGGAATCAAATGGATTGACCATTTAATTAGTCCCCGACTGACGAAGTCGAAGGGGACTTTAGGTTTGCACTCTGTCCGTCTGTCATTCTGTCTGTCCATCCGTCAGTCCGGCAAATCAGTTTTCCAGACTTTTTTTCTTCATGCTTGAAGATATTGATTTGATATTTGGTGTATTGTTTTATCATGACAAGTTACAGGTCAAAGTAGATTTTATCGATTTTAGCTTTTCTCCTTGTTCAGTTAAAGCCCTTTCCCTAGAATTAAATTTTTGATGAAATACTTATTAATTACTAGATTTCTGTTCAAAGGGAAATAACTCATTTTTTTAACTTTCCCTAGAATTAAAATTTTGATGAAATATTTATTAATTACTAGATTTCTGTTCAAAGGTAAATAACTCTTTTTTTTTTTTTTTAAAGATTTGTAAAAGACATTGTATTAAGATAAATGACATTTTGAATTCTTGTTCCTTTTCTTTAGTAAATTGTTTGAAGAATTTAGTGGTAGGTTTGCTCCATTACAATGAATTTTTAACCGGTAGGGGACTATGTATTGCCATGCAATACTCACAGAATGCTAGTTATACCTTGGTGTGAAGTTTATATAGTGATGTCACCAGTGACATTCATCTTTCAACCAACAATCAATCAATCTTGGTATAAATATATATATGTAAATAACTACAATTCCTTCATAATTTTTCATTTTTGAATATTTATTACAGTAACTGCTTTGGGAGGAAAAGAAACAGCCATGATAGCTTTGTCAGTTGGAATTGTAGTTATTGTAGCCTTACTGGTGTTTGTTGTCTGGAGAGTTAAAAAGAGGTATAGTCAAAAACTGTTAGACTCTGATTTTAGGGAAAATGTGTACATAGTTTTAAAAAAAAAATGTTTTAAGTTGTACAACACACATAATATATCATGCAGACCTGTCAGCCATTACTGTTTTGGTTTGAAGTACTATTTGATGTTGAAATTATTGTCACTGTTTACAATTTCTCTTCTTGACCAGTTGTACAGAAATTCATAGCTTAATCTTAAAAGATGCAGGGAAAACATTGTAACAGTGACAATTCAGTGATACACTATAGTTTGAAGATCCATATTACCTGTAAAATTATGGCTTTACCATCTTTTGTTTTACTTTTACACAATGATCTTCCCCAGAAAGTCCATGTACTCATTTCTGTCAATTGAAGACTAACTTGGATCAGGTGCTTGTGACAGTAATCAAAGTGGATCTGTCAATTGTCTTTGACATAGAATTTCTTGATCTGAGGGAATCATTTTTCTCTTATGGTTGTGGCCTGTCATCTATTTCTCACACGAAGAGATATTTCTCATATCACACTCTGTGCGTTAATTTGATTGGCTTATTCAGCATCATGAATGATATTGCAACATTTTCATTCGCTGTTAGTGAGGTCATTGATGACTTTCAAAGGTTGAGATGATGTACATTTCCTCCATGGCAAGAATTTACAAAACACTCACACTTTTCACTGAAATTCTTCTTTTCGCCAAATTTTCACATTCTGAAGTGTACAAAATTATTTTAAATGTCTGATGTTAAAGTTTGACGCCAGAACAAGATATATGACGTCATACAGGATAATAGTTACCAACAGTGTGAGGCCCTCATGGGTAGTCAAGGTCATTAAACACAGCCCTAGTAGTAGGATAATAGCCTTAAAATATTTTTCCTAGGTACACCAAATAACACTGATTGTGAATAGTAAATTGCTAAACAAAACAATTCAAAATAAATTTTGAGAATACATTGAGTGAACATTCATTTGTTATTTAAATTGGTATGAATTCAGTTAACCACAAACACTGTGACAATATGTACTCAGTGACAGATTTGTACTTCTAATAATTAAAATTATTTAATATACAACATATAGTTTATGATACATGTATATTTTGCAGAAGAAGACAAGCATTCCTAACAGAATCCGATGAGTTTGTACGTCTGACATTTTCTAATCCTAATTACCAGAAAAGTAGTACAGAAACCATAAACTTAGAAAGATCTTCATCGGCTGAATCTCAGGAATGGAAAATATTTAGATATAGTAAAAAAGATGTAAGTATTTATAGATCTGATCTGACAGTTATGAAATAAGTCAGCAAAAGTAGAAAATAAACTGACAACGCCATGGCTAAAAAAAGAAAAAGACAAACAGACAAACAACAGTACACAAAACACAACATAGAAAACTAAAGACTGAGCAACTCGAACAATTAACTGCAGTTAAAACTAAACATCTAGAAAAAGTTTTTAAAATTTGTGACAATAAAACAAAAATGGCAATAATACATACAAAGGATACCACAGGAATTAACAAAAATATTGGACAGTACAACAGACCACAATCTTCAAAGAAAATAGGTGTAAAACAATGACAACACATGGTCCAGATAGTCTTGACTTGGTACAGGATCAAAACCTTTATAAAGATTTCAGAGTGTTAAAACAAATTAGTTGCCTTACATCAGTACAGTTGAATGCCATGAAGTCATGCCTATTACATAAAGTTGTATTCAACATCAGCATACATATAGAGATTCCACAATGTAATATGCCAAGAACAGAGTGAGGATGGCATATACAAACTTACAAATGAGACGGGGATTAGTGATAGAAGACTCGTTTTTTAATTTGAAAATTTTCTGGTGTTTGTATTTCCAGAGTTATTAAACTTTTCTTTGTCATATTTTAAGCAATATTAATTTGCCTAAGTATATATTCATGCAAGTTATTCTACAGAGCCATTTTACTAACTTCTGATTAGATGCCTTCTAGATATTCCTTTTTATTCTCACAACAATTTCAATGTGGACAAAAAGGGTGTATCATGCACTTTTAACTCAGTCTCTTATTGAATAATGTCTATTATTTTACAGCAACAAGTTTCAATTTTAAAACCATCAAGAGAGACGAAGTCCAGGGGTTCTGAACGTGCTGCTTTAGTGCAACAAATGGACTCTGGTGCTGTGTCTCCTTCACTACCAAGTCGAGAGAGACAAAGTAAATTGTTTAAAGACAGAACTTCTAATAAAGATAAGGATGTTATTTCTAAAGTTCCTTATAAACCTGTTAAAACATGACATTGTTATAAATACTTTTTTACCTTTTTTTTTTATAAAAGTTTGATGAGATGTGCCAATTTATGATTTTATAAAAATAATTTGTACATACTTCACTAGTAAACAATTATAGAATAATTTAAATAAAATTTGATATTATTTAGTCATATCTTTTTTCAAATTATCTCCCTTGTTTAGGAGATGATCTGTTCATGTATTTTGTAGTAATTTTAATTATGTGTAGTAATTTTATAACTGACTATAAATCATTTTGATTGGCAATCTCATCTTATTTATGTATACATTGACATCTTTGTTGTTTTTTATGTCCCTTTTAAAGGATTTGCATGTTCTTTGTTGCTAGGCGACAATTTTTTGTTTTTTTTGTTTTTTATTTAACTCATGCAATGAATTGGTTACTTTTTAAACAGAATTATGTTTTTTTAAGTTGAATCACTATATACATATATTAAATCAGACAGTTTGTAAATATGTATTATGCTTATTTAAAAATCTATTTTCCTGTCAAGAACAGTTTTACCTTGATTATTTATGCAACCTTGGATTTTTTTTAATTCTGTTATTTGAATAGTGATATTATTTTTAACTTTGCTCAAAAGCCATCTTCTAGAACCAAACTATATCTTTCAGCTTTGATAGCAAGAAAATATCATTGTAAATAAAAACATTTTCATTAATGTAAATATTGAGGCCTTCACTTGCCAGCATTATTTCAGTGTAGTAATACATAAGTCATTTTATTTATAAAATGTATATATTATGATGTCATTTTTATGGTCACAAATATTTTTTTAAGTGTAAATATGATTGATATTTCTGTTGATTAACTGTAAAAATATGATCATATTCTTGAGGCAGCCATATTTCTATATCTATCGAGAAAATACTTTTAGTTCCTAGATAGTTCCTAATCATGTGTCCCATTTTACACACATAAATCATGTGATAAAAGTCAGAAATCTATGTACTATTGGGATCAGTACAACATCATCAGCAAGAAAATGTCAACTTATGGTTGCTGTCCCCTTGCGGTAGATTTTTATCAGGGTGAGGGTGTCAAAATAGAAAAAACTGTGGTCAAATTCAAGTGGAATTTGCCTGTGTAAAAATTTATAGTTGGAATCATAAACAATTGTCACCTGATACCACTTTTCTGACCTCCTAATTGCGACTACAGCTATCTCTGAACTATCCTATAATCTGACACTGTTATAAAAAATATGTCCCTGTTGATGATAAAACATGAAATTGGGTAACATAAATATCAAACTCCAGGAAGTTAATAGAATTCTATCTTTTTAAACTGTATGCGTTTTGCCTACCATTTAATAACCTATTCCATTCAGCACTATTGATTTTTGTTACAGAGGTTTAGTTTTAGAGATATGAGATGAAATTCATTTAATGGGAAAATCCTATTTTTATGAATGTTGTTACAGGCTTATTGGTGTTAAACTATTATAAAAGTACCAGAGCTGCTATAATACAAGGTAGTGCAGTACTAATGAAACAGTTACTGTACTTTTGTATGTTCTTGATACTTTTATGTTACATAGTATGAACCAATATTGATAGACCTGATGTAGGTAGCAATCAGTTATTCATTTAGATGTCACAGTTATTTATTTATTTACATGGTAAGTTTAGTTACATGTGATAATTATTTTGGTGCTTATATTTTTGTCAACTTCTCAGATGAACTACTAAAAAGCCAGTCTAATTTTTATATGAATCATTCATTTATAGTTTCCTCGTCTTTAAATAATGAAATAAGATGTTTGCAAATAATCATTGACCTAGTTTATATAAAATTTGACTATATTTTTTCAAATTTTTTGTATGAGTGAAATTTTTTTTGTGTTTAAACTTCCAGCTGATTATTAAGTAACATTTTAGGATCAGTTTCAAAGAAATTTTGTAGGTATATATATATGTATAATTTTATGTAGATATTGATGTAGACAAGAGAAATTTCCATCTTTGTATGTGAAATGTTTCCGATAAGATACCTCACTTTGTAATATAGAAACGTAGTCATATGGATGTTGGGTAGATGGGTTTGAAAGTAAAGAATATCAGAATACAAAATGTAGCACGTGATAGGACCGTGTTGGTAGGAATTACTCTTATGATTGGATTTAAATTTACCATCACTTTAGGTGTCAGTTTAGTTTTTAAAAAAAGATGGTTAAAATATGCTGCCATTCTAGCGTTAAACTTCATTCAAAATGCTTCAAAATATATTTGACTATAAATTATTAATGTGTATAAAATGAGAATTGTTTTGTTTATTTTGTTGAAAATCTACATTTTGAAGGCCTTATTTTCTTATTGTGTCCCCTTTTTTTCCAATCATCTTCATGTTATTGGTAATTCTAATATTTATTTTGTTGAAAATCTACATTTTGAAGGCCTTATTGTCTTATTGTGTCCCCCTTTTTTCCAATCATCTTCATGTTATTGGTAATTCTAATATTGTACTATTATATGCCAGTCAGAAGGGTTGGGGTAACCATTCTGTTCTGTTGAGATGTGGATGTTATGAATGATGCTTTCTTTAAACCTTTTTCAAAGTTTTTTTAAATATTTTTTGGTGCACTTTTTTTATGCATTGTACATTTTATGCAATTTGTTTTGTTTTATTTTTTTTTTGCTTTATAGTGTAACAAGATGGTGCTTCTGTATATTTGCTTTTCACAAAATTGATTGTTAATTCAGTACCCTGAAGTCAGGTTGTGTTTTGTATATAATATTGTCATATTCTAAGTTTTTAAATCTGGACATTATGATGCAATTAAAAATAAATTTGTTGTTTTAGTGCTAATCAATAATTATATAACTTGAAAACTGTCATCTAAACTTAACCAGATTTAGGTTTATGAAAAAACTGTCATCTAAACTTGACCAGATTTTGGTTTACAAAAATTGAATTAATTAAGAAGGCAATTTCCCAACACAAGATTTCATGTTAGGTTGTTTACTGGTTTATATAGAGTAAGACAGGTTTTCAGTGAACAAAGTTTCGGCTGCCACAAAGAGGAATTGATGACTGATGTCAGCCAATCAAAAGTGGCTTTTCATGTCATATTTCATTAGAACTAATGTTATTGATAATGACTTTATATTGTTGTTTGGAATTAACACTGTTAGCTTGTATTTTACAAAAGTTAGAAAGATTTATCATCAGTAATAATTTGTAGACTTTATTATGGTTGGTCATGAGTTCTACTGTTTCTTACATACCCGCCGAATGTTTATTAAACTCATGTTGAATTTTTTTCTAATTTGATTAATTTCCCTGTTGTAATATATTTATATGCCATTGATAAGTTCGGAATGTAGACAATGTATGATTTTATGATTGTTGTCCCTTTCAGACAAATTATACATCATTAATTAATCAGTTTTTTTCAGTTTTAGTCATAATGTAACTTATAATATCTACCTCAAAAATTTGATCAGAAAAAAAATGTCATTCAATTTTAAGAAATTTATCACTCAAACACTTTCAACTCGTTGAGAATTACTTGTAAAGAGTCACAACGTATGGTTTGTTGTGTCAGACAAAAGTCTTTAGTAACTGTTATGTTTAATTCTACTTTAGAAATCGGATTTACGAAATGGAAAGGTCATTTCTTTTTTATGGACACATTTTTTAAAAAGACATGCACATTAAAAGCTAGTCTCTTCTATTTCAGCCATTTGAAACTGTTTGAGTGATAATGTATTTACCATATAATTATCATATGAAATTATAAATTTTAAATTTACATAATAAGTCCCAGATTATGACATTTATTAATGAATCATAAAATTCAGCTCTGTGTAGTTATAGTAACAATGACAGTTGTCTAGATATCATCACATTTAAAGGATGTAACTTAGTCTACCTCCTTCATTCTGTCCATCAGGTTTTTTATCTTACATTTCTGTGACAGTTACCCCCAAGAAACTACAGAGCAAATGCTTTATTGTTAACCTGGTCCGAAGAGACTTTGTTGTCAATCATCTGTCATTCATCACCTGTCCAGGTGGAAGTTTGCTTTGAAACCACTAAGCTAATTGGTACCAAATTACCTATAAAATTTTCTTTAGGGTGTGTTGGTTCAAAATTACATCAAATGGTGATAATGCAGACCAAGCACATGGCTGACTTCTAATTAAAACGAAGCAGGCGGTAAAATTGGCAAAATAATAGTTTTTATGGCTATTTTTAATGAGGGAATTCTTCACCAGAGTTTTTTGTTTCATATACATTCATTTGTCTTGAATAGATATACAAGTCACAATTTTCTAGATTTCTTCTGTGCTGGATTGTCACAGTATTTTATTTTGAATTAAGATTATTTTTCTATTTTAGATTTTCTAGGAATATATTTGTAACTGTATCATTGTCTAATTCAGAGTAATTTCCTGTTGTACTAAACTTCATTATATTACATTTCTTTATGATTTATACTTTTAGACCACTGCCATTGATTTGTACGGGTAACTAATTACTTTTTGATTTATATTCATCACTTCTTACCTTACTTCTACCTAATCATGTCCAACTTAAGTATTATTTTCAGTCTGTATTGCTAAGGTTAACATCCTACCAATGTTTTTACTTTAGATGATTTTTTACTTTACACCAGAAACCATTCATGTGTTAACCTGATAACTTGTAAGTTGTAAATTCTATTTCAATTTATCAAGAGTTATTAAAAATTCAGATTCTAATAATCAAATTTGCTGAGGCAGAATACTTTTTGATTTGCTCTTTATGGAATAGAAATCGAACTGCCCTGTAGCAGGAAAAAAAATAGGTTTAACATGAATGGTTTCTGTATAAAGTTTGTTTTAAAAATGTTTAGTTCCATACACAGGGTAAACTTAATATGCAAATTATTCATGTGTTGTGGAATCATATGTTACTGACTTTTGTGTATAAACAATGACTGTGGCTAAACCTCGTTCTGTAATCAGCTAAAAAAAAAAACCAATAGTTCTGGATTTTTAAAGCTTTTTCCTTAATTATTACAATTCTGTGGATCTGAAGTACATATAAGTTAAAATATTGAATGAGATTAAATTTAACAGAAGTTAACAAACTCTAAAGTAATGAAATTTTAACAAAGTTTCGAAAAATTTGTAAATTATAGACTACAACTGTATCATTAAATTTTATACAAATCGGAGAAAACCATGAATTGAATGTAATTATGATTATATAAGAGAAGGGTCAGAGGGGTCATAGTCATTGTTTCTAATGATAAACTCATCATTTTCACCAAATTGATATTATAAATATTTATATATAGAGATATGACTCATTTTCCATTTATTGCATGGACTTATGTCATTGAAAAATAAAATGATATTCTTAAACTGTATTTGTTACATTTATTAACTCTGGTTGATGCCCTAATGTGATTAATTGAAGAATATATTTGTATGTTAGTTGGTGTTTAACTTCACTTTCAGCAAACCTAGGCTATATCATGTCTCAGTTTTTCTTTGTGGAGGCTATTTATCATTGAAGATGGACTATTTAAGACCTCATGCCCCCCTCCTTTTTTTAAATAAAAAGGTGGGCTATGAATGAAATAAATTGATTGATTGGTGTTTAACACCACTTTCAACACTAATGTGCTATTTCGTGGCGGTCAGTTTTTATTGGTGGAGGAAGCCGGTGCCCGGAGAGAACAAACGACCTTCGGTAGGAAAACTGACAACCCTTGTCAATTAAGATTGGAGTGCAGTGCACCTGCCCCGTGCGGAATTCGAACTCACAACCTCAGTGTTGACTGGCTAGTGGTACAGTAGTTCGACTACTTAGACCACTTGGCCACAGAGGCCCAAATGAAATAAATCGATGGTGAAATACTGTAAAAAAAATTATATATCAAAGTACATAATGCTTGCATTGTTGTTTTTCACCTGGACAGTACTTTGAATATTTTCAACTTAAACAATGATCAGTGCTTAAGCTGCTTTGATTTTGCAAATGTTGTACTCAAGTGTTGTACTTGCAAATTCAATAAAGCCTAATCACTGATCATTGTCTCACCTTAATGGAGTCAGAAAGAATTTCATGAGTCTTAATCGTCATCGTCGTCCAAAGACACATTGGTTTTCGCACAATAACTTAAGTTTAAGTGAATGGATCTCTATAAAATTTAATCATAAGGTTCAATACCACAAAAGGAAGGTTGGGATTGATTTTGGGGGTTATGGTACCAACAGTTAAGGAATTAGTGGCCAAAAATAAGCATATTTGTGACTTCCAGACAATAATTTGTGTGTTAGTGTATGGATCTCTCTGACATTGTACCACAATGTTCCATATCACAGAGGGAATGCTGGGATTGATTTTGGGGCTGATTGCTGCAAAATTTTAGAAATTAGGGGCCAAAAAAGGGGCAAAAAACAAGCATTTTTCTAGTTTCATGATAATAACTTGTGTGTTAGTGTATGGATCTTTCTAAAATTGTACTACAAGGTTCTATATCACAAAGGGCAAGCTGGGTTTGAGTTTTGGGGTAATTGCTCAAAACGTTTAGGAATAAGGGGCCAAAAATAAGCATTTTTCTAGTTTCCAGACAATAACTTGTGTTCAAGTGTATGGATCTCTGTGAAATTGTACTGCAAGGTACCATACCACAAAGGGAAGGCTGGGATGGATTATGGGGGTAATTGCCTTAAATTTTAGGAATTAGGGGCAAAAAACAAGCATTTTTCTAGTTTCAGGACAATAACTTGTGTGTAAGTGTATGGATCTTTATGAAATTGTACTACAAGGTTCCATATCACAAAGAGAAAGCTGAGTTTGAGTTTGGGGGTAATTGCCCTAAACCTTTTGGAATTTGGGGCCAAAAAGGGGCCAAAAAACAAGCATTTTTCTAGTTTCCAGACAATAACTTGAGTTCAAGTGTATGGATCTCTCTGAAATTGTACTGCAAGGTACCATACCACAAAGGGAAGGCTGGGATTGAGTTTGGGGGTGATGAATCATAAGGGGGTTCAAAAATTTGGGGGGGGGATTTTTTTTTCTATTTTAAGACTCTTATGATGTATTTAAATTGGTAATTATGGTTGCAAACTCCATTGGTAATTTGAACTGAGATTATGACCATATCTTGAGGGAAAGAATTGTTTTTTTGGAAAAGGGGGGAGGTGAAAAAAAGAATTTAGGGGGAGGGGGGTAAAAACGAAATTGTGGGGGCAATTTTTTTTTTTTTTCATTTCAGATTTCAGAAATGTAAAAGAAAATTTCTTCATTTATTATTTCTTTTTGCAAAAAAAGGGGGGGGGTAAATTTTTTTTATTTTTTTTTTTGGGGGGGTGGGGGTCAATAGGCAACAGCATAGTGTATTGCACAAAAGCAAAAAATTGAATATAAATTCAAATCATATAACCAATTCTAAGTTCTTTGACTACAGTTATTCAGTGTCAGAAACCTATTATGTGTCAAATATTTAATTACAATCCAAATTCAGACCTGTATCAAGCGCAAGCGCGAATATTGTGTCCATTTTTGCCCCAACTGTTCAGGGTTGGACCTCTGCGGTCGTATCCAGCTGCGCTCAGCGAAGCATTTTATTTTTTAATAGAATGTTGTGTTGACGAATTATGTCTCGGTTATTAACGCCATCAAGGAAGCTATATACGGTGATGTATAAGCAAAAGACGTGTTTTTTCTTCGCTTCTACCGAAATATATTTGTCAAAAATATCCAACCATTTGTTGCTTCAGATGACTAAGAAACTATTTCAAATTTCAAAAGTCTCTTGTTTTTAGCTATTTTAGATTAAGAGACATACTTTTCTCCCGTCTGTCCGTCATTACGTTCACCGTCATAAGATGTATAAACGTGAGTCAGTGTTGCAAAGTGTCGTTTTATACTCACAAGACTGAAGACATTTGTAGATCACGCGGATTAAAGTTTTGATGTATCGTGTGTTGCTAGTTTAATGTTCAGTGGCAAATATATCATGCATATCCCATCAAAGAGTTGTCGCAAGTGTTATTTAACATGCAGAGAGTATAACATTCATCCTGAATACGTGAGGTACTGGATTTAAAATCCTCAGACCCGAAGAGGCTGCTATTAATGTATACATCCCACGCTTGTAAGAAAAGGTTTTATTGTTGGTACCAGACAATTCCAGGGATTACTTTATTCCTTACGGCCCAGCTTAACCCTTGAGATTGAATTAGTATTTGAAAAAATTAAATCAAATTGTCCTACAGCTAGGTTTTTGAATTAAGACCTCGTCATATTTCAGTATGAAGTATACTTACATAAAGAATATATATTTATCACTCATTTGTTTACAAAGATCGTGATCGCAACTTTTCCTACAATTTTAACCATAAAACTTTATGATATGTCGAACGCACGTGTTGAGAACTGCATTTTTTGCATGTATTTTAACGGATAAATGTAACAATATCTGACTGAACTTGATGATAAGCTTTGTTTGTCCATACCATCATCCCAGGTAGTATTACCGTCAAGATCTCAGTTAAGCAGGATCGAAAAAGTTCAAATTGAAAAAACGGGATACAATTATTTTCTGCTCTTTTTTCAAAATTGAAGGTACAATGTGTTAATTTGCTAAAAATGGTAATATCTGCAGAATTCCCATGTAACTTTAAAAAAAAAATCAAATTTCTTTAAATTTGTAAATCGTAACATATATTCTTAAAATAAATATGATAGAATGTTTATTCCTATTAAACTCATTCCTAATCCAGTGTTACTTGTACTGTATATGGATACACAATTTTCCGACCTAATTTTTCCTTGCCAACTTTTTAATGGCAATTTTACACAATTAACTCTAAAACCAAATGTTTATTGTATTTAAAAGTGAGCATTTTTTATTCCATCTGACAATTTTTCTACGGTTATAATTGTAGTTTTTATACGACCGCAAAAATTTTTGCGGTCGTATATTGGTATGACGTTGGCGTCGTCGTCGTCGTCGTCTGGCGTCGTCCGAAGACACATTGGTTTTCGCACTCTAACTTTAGTTTAAGTGAATGTATCTCTATGAAATTTTACCATAAGGTTCAATACCACAAAAGGAAGGTTGGGATTGATTTTAGGGGTTATGGTACCAACAGTTAAGGAATTAGGGGCCAAAAAGGGGCAAAAAATAAACATTTTTGTAACTTCCAGACATAACTTGTGTGTTAGTGTATGGATCTCTCTGACATTGTACCTCAAGGTTCCATATCACAAAGGGAAGGCTGGGATTGATTTTGGGGGTAATTGCCTCAAAATATTAGGAATTAGGGGCCAAAAAAGGGCAAAAAACAAGCATTTTTCTAGTTTCATGACAATAACTTGTGTGAAAGTGTATGGATCTTTCTGAAATTGTACTACAAGGTTTCATATCACAAAGGGAAAGCTGGAATTGAGTTTGGGGGTAATTGCCCGAAACGTTTATGAATAAGGGGCCAAAAAGGGGCCAAAAATAAGCATTTTTCTAGTTTCCAGACAATAACTTGTGTTCAAGTGTATGGATCTCTCTGAAATTGTACCAGAAGGTTCCATATCACACAGGGAATGCTGGGATTGATTTTGGGGGTGATGAATCATAAGGGGGTTAAAAAAATTGGGGGGGGGGGGGGTGGTTTTCCTTTTTTTTTCTTTTAAAATTTTCCATTTTAAGTTGGTTATTTCTGATTTATATTTAAAAGAAAATAATAATGATATGGTAGGAGATACACACCAAACAGGATGTGTAAATTATTATATAATAAGTATTGTGCAATAGCAAGAAATCTTCATTTGCACAGTATTGCGCAATAGCAAGAAATCTTCAATTGCACAGTATTGCGCAATAGCAAGAAATATCTAATAGCACAATATTGCGCAATAGCAAGAAATTGTCAATTGTGCAGTATTGCGCAATAGCAAGAAATATTCAATTGCACAGTATTGTGCAAAAGAAGATACTTCGTATAAATTGCTTATTTCTTGACCAATTTCAATGGGGTTTTATTCTTGAATTCTTGGGGTTCTTTAATATGCCGAATCTAACCGTGTATTAAGTTTTTGGATTTTGGGCCCCGTTTTTAAATTTGTCCACATTGAGGTCCAAAGGGTCCAAAATTAAACTTTGTTTGATTTCATCAAAAATTGAATTATTGGGGTTCTTTGATATGCCGAATCTAACCGTGTATTTAGATTCTTAATTTTTGGTTCCGTTTTCAAATTGGTCTATATTAAGGTCCAAAGGGTCCAAACTTAAATAAAACCAAAATTAAACTAAGTTTGATTTTAACAAAAATTGAATTCTTAGGGTTCTTTGATATGCTGAATCTAAACATGTATTTAGATTTTTGATTATGGGCCCAGTTTTCATGTTGGTCCA